TAATCAGTGGTATCCCTCCCAATCTTTGTTGCAGCCCCCCAAAAAGGAACATGTGAACTACAGGACTTACCAAGAGAAAATGAAAGAGGAAAAAGCAGTGAAAGATGCTGATAAGGAAAAGGTTTGTGTGAAATTTTGTGTATAAAAAGGCGGCATGTAAGAGCTAGCCCAAGAGCCTGACATATAATGCCTCAGGCGCAGGAGGAGTGCCCAAGATTGACACCTGTTGCTCCCCATAGATTGGGTTCCTGGCTCCCACAGGACTAACCTTATTGATGAAAGCTGGTTGTGTGCAGTATGAAGGGCACAGAGTTAATCTTGTGTTGTGGTGGGTTTCACTGCCTCATCCTTTGAGGCTTATAGACTGATGACACAAAATCAGCAGCGTTTGGGTTTTTTTATCTTTTTAAGATTAAAAAAATGGCCCTCAATTAAAGTTTGTTGCATGTTGTCTAACCACAGAGAGCCAGATCTTCAACTGCTTTTATATCAGCACAATTCCATCTAGGATCTTGCTCATTATTTAAAGCAGGGTGAGGTTTCTGTTGCATCCGTCCTCTAGCACAGCCCTTCTGGCTCTGAGCCTACTCCCTGCCTTCTCATGTAGGTGGGAGCAGGCTGTGGCATGGGTAATTGCTCTTGCAGCCAGTTTCCTGCCACCCTCTTTCCCAGGGACCTACTTCTCCTCCTCTGTCATGTGGCTCGAAGCACATCCAGTGCATGACCAGACGTGGCTGAACCCTGTTATTTGACAGATACACTCGGGGACAGGGCACACCTGCCTGGTGGCAAGTCCATCTTTTGACCCTAGGATCTGTCATATGCCCAAGGAGCAAGCCTCTGCTTTTGCACGTGGCAAGAACAGCTTGTTGGGCATGAGTGGGCTGTAAGGTGACAGGAAGGGCTCTCGGCACTCCTAACAGTGACTCCACAATGCGTTGCATCACTTGTTCTGTCAGGTCTCCCAGCTGGCTTTAAGTGCCTGCGGCTCTGTGAAGCAAAGGCTACAGCGTGTTTTATGTGCAGGTGGTTGTTTATTGAACATGTTCTGTTTGTTACTTGTTCATTAAAATATGTATCTTTAAAAACAGGACCATAAGGGTGATTCTCTTAAGAAGAAGAAGAAAGAACAGAAGGAGAGGTGAGCTGTTTTTAACGAGTTGAAGTTAACTTGCTTTTGTATAGTCTCCCCACTGCATATCCCCTATGTACCAGAAGTCATGCACATCATAGTGGAATGAACATCTCCAAATGCAGAACTCCTCAAAAAATGGTGACATTGCTCTTTGTCTAGCAGTTTCAGAGGCTTTAGTTACACAGCTTGACTGAAAATATGTCAGTTCGGTCCCAACATGTCTAAGACTGCAGCTGGAGATGAGATGGATGAAAATCCCTGTGTGCCAATGCATCACTTACTCAGAGCATTTGCCCTAAGAAATAATTTCTGCAAAACACAAGCTACAGTATGCAGGGGTTTGAAAGTGAGCTGACATTCTTAATCGTAGTATAGCAGGTTCACTCTGTATTCTTAATGTTCCTTCTCTATCCAAAAATCTTTGTGTTTCTAAACATTTAGAAATGTAAATCATGCTGTAATGTGCTGCAAATTTTGAATGTCTATGAAGGTAAAATGTTCTGGGATCATTACTTGCTATGATTTGATACTCCTTAATACCAAACACTGACTGCATAAATAGGTGACATTTTTCACCATATTAAGCATTTTCATGTGTTTCTGCTTTTCTCCGAATTATTGTTTTTCCTCTTCCTATTTCAGGAAGGCCAAAAGGAAGAAATCAGTGCCTAGCATTTGGCCTGCAGGACAAGTTGGAAAATTCAGAGATGGGACCTTGATTCTGCAAAGCCATGACATAAAGAAAATCAAATCATCCAAAGTTAGGAAATGAACTTAATGATAGAGTGAAATGGACAATACGCATAAGATAGAATTCATGTTGCTACCAACACAGACTTACAGAGCCTCTCGCCTTCCCACCATGCCCTAATTTTTTAAATTTTGGTTTTGCAGGATTTTCTATGTTCCATTCTGCCGTGGGAAGAATATGAGAATTTACCATTTTATAAATAAAAATAAGAGTTTTTATTAAGAAGGTTACACAGCCTATTTTTATTAGTCAATACATGTCAAAACAAACATTTCACTTTCTAGAATCAACTTATTGACTGTAAGTAAAATATTCATTTAATCCATTAACTAATCTCTTCACTTTCATGTGGAAGGAATATGGAAAAAGCAATACCTTACTCACTCTGAACCTGAAGTAGGTGGTCTCCAAACATTTATCGAACATAAATTTATTTCTATATTTTTATGGATTGTTAGGGGCTAGTGGAACTGCACAAAAGTTTTCCTGTCCAGCAAAACCTCAAGGTTTCAAAATTACCTGCTTCGGAATGAAAATAATATTTTTCTGAAATTTTGTCCCAGTAGGAGTTACACACTCAACTTGTATATCTCTGCAGAGATCTCCAAATAAGCAGTTTCAAATAGTGTTTTGGTGGCTTGGATGGTTTGTTTTTAAAAACAAAACCACATAAGACTGAGGCATAGACACTCAATAGCTGCTGGTTGTTCCTGGGAACTCGTGTTTGTGTTGTTCGGTGTCCCCATGCTTTTCTATGAAATCTTTGTCAAAACTGAAATTTTGATGCTATTTGGATTTCAGCAGTTTGGTGTTTCTGGAAGAACAGTTTTTGTCTTCTGTAGCTAAATATTTGTTAGGGTTTTTTGTTTTTAAGGTGGTGTATCCTTTAGAACTGGCAATGGTTAGTGACCTTCCAAACTGAAAGAAGCTTCTGGGTGTACTGGTACCCCTGTGGGCTGGGACCTGAGCCAGGTGATCTCTAACCCTGAGTGAGCAGTGAGGTCTGTGTCAGCTTGCAGCCAGCAAATAGAACAGCAGCATTGGAGGCTGTCCCTGTCACAGGATGGGAAAGTGTTCTGGGGTAGGGAGGGCCACACCACAGAAAGGGATGCTTTCTGGCACACTCCTTCCCTCACACCTTCCACCTTACTGAAGGTCCTGGAAAAGTGCTCTGCCACCACAGAGAGGACTAAAAGGAGGGAGAGAGCCTGTAAGGATCAAGAGGCAGGTAAAAAGTGGAAGGGAGTGTTTCTGCAGCCGTGTGGGAAGAGGACGGGTGTGCAGAGTTGGGTTGCTAAATGCTGTTATCACATTTTGTAATTGCATAATTTGATTTCTTGTTATTCAGTACTGGTTGCAGATTCAAACTGGAATTAACAATCATATCTGGTTACAGACTTAGTGTCTTATTTCACATTATAGAAATGTCAAATCACCATGGCATGTGAAGGTGTTGTCACTAAGAAGAATTGAGTACAGAGCATCAAGACTTGTTGAGGCAACAGATGGGCCTTCGATGTTGTGGGATAACCTGTATTTTTTAATTCCTTTTTAATCCTTGAGCTTAGTTTTCACTGCTCACTTCTTGATGAAGTTTTGTTCAGCTGTTTGCATATAATGTGTTGTGGGACTTCATGTCCTCAGTCAGCTTAGGTAAGTTAAAGGGTTTACTTTCCACCTCTACAGCTCCCACTGTTTGGGAGTGAAACTTGGTCAGAATGGGCTGTCTTAATTTTGCAGTCCTGGTCTCAAGCTTGTAAGCTCTGTAAAAAAGAGATGAAAAAAATCAGTTCTTAAAAGGCTGAAAACTGAAATGCTGAGTAGATAGCGGAACATTAAGGTTTTTGAGGGAAGAAAACGAAAAGTTTATTCAAAGTGTTGCATCTTCACACTCGTTTATGGTGTTGGTGTGTGTGCATCATGAAAACTTTCTTACATGGCGATAGGTTGCTTATTTATATCAAGTCTGCAAGGTGATTTGAGCTGGCCATGCTACATTCTTGTAGGATGCTGTTGTCAGGTAAGCATGGTACTTCTAGTCCTGTTTTGTTACTAGATGCATCAATTACATCTGGCAAATAAAACTGTTCAGAGCCTGTTATGCACCAGTGTTTTCCTGGGCTGGCATGTGCTGGTGGTTAGCAGAGTATGTAAGTTTATGTTCAGGCAGCAAGCTCTGTTGGTTTCTAAGCACGTGCTTATACACGAACGCCAATGTTGGCTGAATAACTGATTGATTATGGGAAAGGGGGAGCAGGGCCCATCTTATTTTGCCCTCTAGTTGCAGTTGCATAGAGGAATGAAGTATAAAGGAAGAACAGAAGGATTTTTCCTTATCTGCTTTCTCTTGCATGCCTTTTCCTACAACTGTTATCTTTATTCCCTGTTTCCCTATATGCTAAAGCCATTGTGATTATCTTTTCTCCCAGTCAAACCCCTTTCCATAAAGGTGCTGATGCCAGGTTGTTGTCTCTTGCAGGAGAAAAAAAGAAAACGTGTGATAGATGGTGTCTCCACACTGTTGTCTGTAGTTACTCCTGATTGTTTTGGCTGAGTTCCTGTTTCTTACCCTGGTGCTGCTGTCAGTGTTATCACCATGCTTTATTCTGCTTTTTTAGCAGACTTCTGTGAAGGTTGTGTGGCCTCAATGACTGTTTCTTTGCAGGGGCTGTGTGCTGCCTCTATAGCATTGCTCAGTCTCTCACGAGCCGTCAGCCTGATAGAGGTGTGCAGCTCCAAGATGACAGGTCATTTTAAACCATCTCACAAAGTTTTCGTCTCCCCTGCCCTGACAAGCTTTCTGCCCATTTTGACTTTTACCCAAAGGGCTTTCCAGTTGGATCCTAGTGGTGTCACAGTTCTTTCCAGGCTCTGCTTACTCCAGTGTCAGAAATTTCTGGAGTTTGGGAAATCACCCAAAGTGTCTTAGATGGGATGCAACTAAATAATAGATCCCCTATAACCAATGTGAGCCAGAGCTAATGGAGTGGTACTGGGAAAGAGAGGTGTTTCATGCCACTGAATCCAGGGTATGTCTGAAGTTAAGGCACAGGTGGTTGCTCTGAGGGAGGACTCTTGGGTTTCTCCAACTACTGGATTATTCTTGATTGTGGTAACAAAGCAGGTACGGACAGTTAGAGTTAGGCATGCGTTCTGCGAGTGCCTCATTTACATTATGGCATAATATTTTTTATAATAATCAGGGATAATAAATACAGTACTATGCTGAATTTGTTGGCAATGTTATAAGAATTTATTTAGAAACTGTAAAACAGCATAAACTTATACATCAGGTTTTCCAAAAGGGGAATAATAATAATAATACACAAAGTTTTAGTTGGACCAAAAGACAAAAAGCAGTTTGTTTCTAATTCAAAAAATACAAACATTTGCTACAAAATTATAAAAAGTTAGTATTTTCCTTTTGATCTGGTGATAGACACATATAGCAGAGATGTATATTTCACCAGCTCCAAATTAAGATAAGCTATGGGAAATGACAGTAACAAAAAAAAGTGTTGTAGTTAAGAAAATACAGAAACAACTTCTTGTCTTTCATTTAACCAGAAGTGAACACCATTATCTTATTCCTTTGCACTTTTTTGGTTGCCAACATTTAAATTAGTGTTATTCATGCTTCATATGACAATCAGAAATAACAGCAGGTTTACCTCATGCATTTATTTTTAATATTCATCACATAATGTCTTCTCACCATGCTACCTGGAAAGGTTAGTGTTTTTATTGACAACATTTAAGGGAGGTGGAGGATGATGGAATGCAATCAGGATCTGGGAATATTTCTACCTACTGCTTCATAAGAATATGTTAGAAACCCTCCAATTAGCATAAAAAATAATTTTGTAATTAATTCTACTTGGAACTGTTTGCAGTAACAAATGTAAAAAAAGGTCATTTAACAGAAGGGGAAAATGCTGCTGAGTGTCTCTGTCAGTGGAACACAGGTCTATCTCCTGTATTGTGCAAAGATGCAGGAGCCCTACACATTCAGTCTCTGAGGTTTGTATATGGGCTCCTGCACCTCAGAAGACCAAGTGCATCTGATTTATGGTGAATTTGTGCTTCAGGCTGCTGCTCCACCTGACTGTGTGTGTGCAGCGTTCAGTAGAGCTGGGCAGAGGAATCACCAGAAATGTTGTCAGTAAAAGCTAGAAGCAGCTCACTTTTTTATTAATAAACAACAACAAAAAAAGACTCCATCTTTGCCTGGTAATTTTCAGTGACAAGTGCCCTTTACATTTGCTACATGGTTGATCTAAAACTGTAATCTCCCTTACAAAATTGATCTAGCCAAGATGCTCGATGCTTTCGTATTATCTTCCCTGGTTCAAAGTTGAATTCTTGATTTTGCTATTTAAGCAGAATGCTGCGAAGCTGGTAAGGCCTGAGATAAGGTCTAACAGCTCTCCTAACTCACCTTTCTGTTTGTGAGCAAAGGACATACTAGATGGCACTAGAAAGCTGCTGTCACCAGGTTGTGGAATTTTGGGTCCCTTCTCACATGAGTGGGTAATCCGAATTATGGTCCAAAAATGCACTACCTCTTGTTGGCAGTTGCAAACATGGTGTTTTTCATACAATGGTAGTGACAGCTAAGCCTTGATCTCATCTCTCTTACCTTGTTTAAGAAATATTATCATGTAAGAAAGAAAGAAAAAAAAGCTGCATCTTGCTCCAGAACAACAGCGTATTAGGTGCTCTCTGCTACCTTTGCTAATTATACTTTGAGGAAAAAAAAAAACAAAACTCAACTTGCACAGCACTACCACAGAACTCTATCACCAGCCAAGAACAAACTACAACAATACACTATTATGGCAATATTTACAACATGATGGAACATTATGCATATAATAAATTACATTTAATACTTTTCCTCTTAAACTCTGATATATGTAAGCTCATGCTTATTTTATTTATTTTGTTCAGTCCAATATATTTTCTTCTATGTATCTGAAGTGCATAGGCAACATAGGAGGTGACAGTGCTGTCTGCCTATCTTTTTCTATGTTTTTAGAAGCCAAATTGCTTTCCAAATTCATGATACATCACAGTATGCTACTGTCCTCACTGACATACAAATTTATTTATAGCACATACCTTTCCACAGCAGAAGGAACAAGGGATTGTCAGCTACATCTGTGCTTATATTGACATTAAGTCTTAGTAAGAGAACTTCTTGTGAGCTCCTTTTGAGTTGATGAGGGAAAAGAAGGGAGTGGAAATTTTGTAGCATTGCATGCCTTGGGAAGTCTGAGAGTGCTGGCACACTACTTCTGTTTGTTCCCACTGAAGTTGATGGAAATTTGCAGAGGAAAGAGCCAGGAAGCAAGCTCACAAAGGCTAAGGTTGGGGTTCACAGGGGCAGGTGAAAACTGAGAGTCCTTTGTTGCTCTGCAGAACAGAAAGTTTACCTGCTCTATTTATTTTGCAGCTTTTCAGAGCTTCCAAATTTGTGTATGCAGAAGACAAGCTTTGTTATATTTATTAGGGGAGGGCTTGTTTGTGTTTTGGTGGTTTTTTTAAAACATTAAGTCAATTTACAGCTACCCTGTGTGGGCTCTGTACTATAGTGGATGGGATTCATCCCGGTGCAAAAGGCTTTGCTCTCCTGCTTGTAAGGAGCAGCCTGGCCTCTGGGAGCCAAAGAGTCCCATGAGAGGCAGCTTTGTGTATGTCTAGGTGCCAGAAGAGCTTGGAGTCCCAGAGAGATGCAGAGATACTCTGAGGAATGAAAAGGAAGCAAGAGCATCCCAACTGGTTCCCTTGGAAATCTATGCTGCCCTTCAGCCCTCTGGGTTCTCCCTGGACAGTCAGCAACACAGTTTCTGCAGGGACTAAAAGCTGACTCCCTCCTAAAGAAAGGATTTGGAGGAAACAAAAACTGGCATAAGGGATACTGTAGATGAAGAACGTGCAAACTTGCTGGGTTTATAATGAGATGGACCTTGGGGAAGTTACCTGCAAAGAAAGAAACTAACTCTAGCCTGAGCAGAGCAATAGGACTGTCCCACTTCTCCCCAACTGATGCTGTTCTGCAAAGGGAAAATTCTGTTCTACCTATTATCAAGTGACCACTGCCATTCAGATACTCTGCATAAATATTCATATGTGGAATAATTAGTTTCCTAGAGTAATTTTAACTACTTAAGCATTATTTCTGTTAATCAAACTATGAAAATGTATGCAGCTGAAGTCACAAAAGTACACTCTATGAGGGTAATTGGTTTATTGCTACGGGCCATGCCAAAGGTAAGTCCTTGAATGTGTACACAACCAACACACACAAACACTTTGTTTAGTTTTTGGCCTAGGGTAAATTAGTCTTACTAATGCAGGTAGCCTACTGTAACTGTATTCCTTTTATTTTATTTGCATTTCTTCTAGGTTAAAAGGAGACTATAATGGTAGCTAATCTGTTCCCTACTTTTACGATGTTCAAATGCATAGAGGGTAAAAAAAGAGCTTCTCTACTGCTCTGAAGCATGTCCTACCTATTGTCTGTATTTTCATTAGAAATTAATAACATGTCACTCAGTGTGTTCTCCCCAAGGTATAATACACCAGGAACCGATACCAAAGCAACTATGAAAACCAAAACCGAGTACTGAAAACACTTCTAAAACCCATTCGGAATTAATTTTAAACGTCTAGCAGTGGTTGAAGATTGGAAAGATGTAAATTCATGTGAGTTTCCTTTACAGAAGTTGGGAGTAAAGACAAAGGTTCAGTCCCAAAACAAACAATGCCCTCTTGCTTTTAATACAAGTGAAGGTGAAGTGCCTTCCATATTCAAATTATCACAGGATGTTTCCCAATATAAAAAACTATGTGCAATTTATGTACAATATTCCCATACACTACTCTGACTGGCAATACTCAAAGCCAACACTATGATTACAACTGTTACGTTCATAGAAGAGCACACTCAAGAGGAAATTCAGGGTCTGGTAGTGTTCTAGCTGAGGTAGGTTAAAACAGACCTGCTAATTAGAAAATATTCCATGAGTTCATATGGTATTGAATGAAACTGAAGATTATAACACAGTTGGTCTCTGATATTCTTTACAAAACCAAGACCAGCATAGTACAGTTATTCCATTCTCTACAAGTTTACTAATACAATCCATTCCAGACTTTGAAGAAAGTACTGCTGCTTTCTCACTTAAAAGCATATGTTATTCTTTTCCATAGTTGGTTTTACTGTTTCAGTCTTGACATTGCTGAAGGTGCCCTGCTGTTCTGCAGGAGAGGTGGGCTACAGGGTGCTTGGTTGGTTACAGGCAACAGAATGGCAGACTGTTTTTTGTCTGTGCAAAAGCCCAGGACTGTTCAGTTCTGGGCTACCTTTTCCTTCCCAGAATGGCTTTGAAGTGGGATGACCCTGTGCTCTGCCACAGGGAAGCATTGCCATCACTCAGCACTACCTGAGTGATGTGCTCCATACAGGGACCAGAAGTGGACCTGCAGCAGCATGCCTGGGGGCTGGCAGGCTGCCCAAGGGCATGCCTGGGCCATTTGTCCTGTGGCTGTGCTTTAATGCAAGGCAGTAAGCTGGATTTTGGTTAGAATATTTGTTTTCAGGTTTGATAATTATATGCCTGATAACAATGTGTGTGTGCGTATATGTATACTTGAAAAGGAAAATTTGTATAAGCAGCAGGATTTAAAAAAAGGAAATAGAACATGGATGGGATTTAAGAGTTTATGTTTCTCTTGTTTGATAGCACCACATTTACACAGGATACAGTGACAGAGTCCAAGATATCATGAGCTCACCCAATCTGCTGCATCTTGTCCTCACGCATTGCCATTATACACACACACACTTGCATAAGTTAACTGGGTTCAGAAAAAGCACGCAGGCAAATCAGTGTATTTTCTGACAACTGCAGGCAGGTGACAGTGCCATGGCTGTGGGAAAAGTTGACCATCTCTAGTTGTCACAGACTCCAGTTGTCATGGGCAGCACCTGAAATGACTGCTTGTTTTTATGGGAGATGCCAGGCACAGGTAAGTCTTGCAAAAGATTTATGTCCCAATCCAAAAAAATTCTTAGGGACAGGTTTTGCATTAATGCTAGGAATCTCTCTCAAGTGCTTTATTAGGATCAAGACATTAATTAGCTCACAGTAATCTAATAGAAAATTAAGGCTTCTGACCTCAAAGCTACATTGGAACTACAGCTGCCTAGGGCTTATCAGGATCAAGGCTGGAAAGCAGCATTTTTCAACATGGGAGACTTTGCATGTGCCATATTTAAATAAATTTCTTATCAATTCAGTTGAAAGGAATCTCCCCTGCATTGTTTTTCAAGAGTTGTGCTGATAACCACAGTCAAATCTGCTGGATGTGATACTCTCCACAATCACCTAAATAACAAACACTAAAATGTTATCAAGGATGTTTTTCTCTCTACTTTTTGTATCTGATTTCTGCATGTATCATGATGTTAGCTAAAATGAGCACAACTATTTCATGGCAGTGTTTGGAAACCAATCTTATTCTTGTCACAGATAATGAGGTAAGTTCTGCCACAGACTTCAAGAGGGACATTATCCCATAGCTTACTGCAGTCTAGAGCCAGAAGGAATAATTAATGGTCATTTGAGCCCCTGAATATAATTGACAACCAGAAATTCTTGAGCATACAGCCTCCACTTCAGCTGTCAAAACACATGCTTTCTTGACTTAAGGACTTCAGGTGGCAAGGGAATCCAGTTCACCTACTGGTAAATTGCTCCAACATCCATTGCCCCTCAGTCTTACCCATTTTTTCCAGCATCACTAATATTTAAGCATAAATCCAGCCATGAGAGGGAAAATACACTCATTTAACTTTTTTTTGTGTGTTTGCGTGTGTGTGCACGAGTATACATATGTGTCCAATGCATTGTAGATATGTTCAGGTACATATCTTCAGTTGAGTGCCAGTTCAGCGGATGTGCTTGCTATGGCTGTTAAATTAAAAAAGGGAGTGGTCTAGTTGTAACCAGCTGATTATTTGGTGAGCAACACGCCGCACAGTGTTTTAAGTCAAGGAAAAGAATGCTTTTTTACTGACTTACTGAGAAGTGCCAAAACACACTAAGAAATCTTAGAGAGTCCAACACAGTGTCAGGCAGGGGCTTCATTAGTTGTTGGGCAGCTTGGTCTGTTTTACACATTGTGGCACCTCCAATCCTGTGTGCAGAGTCACCTGCACAAAGAAATAAAAAGAATGTAGATTCAAAGTGGGACATGCTCAGCAGAGAGCATTCATGAAGGCAAAGTGCAGATAAATGAAAGGGGAAGAGCTATGGGACTTCAGGGCCAAGTTTAAGTCAAGAATATTAATGCAAATGATATCCAGCCCCTGAAATAAACAAGTCTCCTCCCCCTTCCCTCCTGAACACTTTGGGACATAGAAGCCAGGTGTCTGCATCTTTTCCCAAATCTAGCTACCCGTTATAGGTCTCCAGCAGTGCTGCTTGCTAGACACAAGGTGTGAGAGGGACTTCAAGTGCTTCAGGACAGAGATCACACAGTGGAGCTCATGTACTAAATATAAGAAAATCTTTTTATCTTTTCTGTCCTGGCAGAACAGAGCACAGGACATTTTAGTGCTCCTTCGATTACTCGACATATCTACAAGGTCAGAGTTTCCACACAGATGGACCAGAGCACCATTCAACAGCAAACACAAGCTTAGTTTCAGAGTTTACCCCTGCCCTCTCGTCAGCCATGCTCTGCCTTAATTCAGTTGTGGTAAGAAATGTAAGCCAGGTACTTAAAGGATGTAGTAGCTAAAACTGAAGATAGACTGTGAGAAAAATCTGTGAGGTGAGGTGCCTAGAGAAGTGCCCCTGTCATCCACGTTGGTGCATCAAATTAAATAAAGCTCAGAAAGTTTCTTGAAAGATTTGGATGCCACCAGTAAAAAATGCTGAAAGTTCATGTACTAACAAGGTCATGTGAGGTTTCTGATTTCAGTTTGAGTGCTTTAAATGATGAGTGTTCCACCCTGGCTGCATTGGTCCTGCCTGACCTAAGCTGACCTCCTTCAGTCTTCAGGCTCCTGGATGTTTCCATAGGTTCTCCCTTATACCACACCCCATTTCTAGCCGTATGCAGTGGTCTTGAAGTAAAAATGCATTATATTTAAAGATAGTTCCTCCAAGAGGAAAACCTCCTGTGAACAGAGAGCAGGAATTATGTGCAGACTTGGTCTTCTCTGCACTAATTCTCTGACCTATGTTGCCTTTGCTCTTCTCACTGCTCTGCTGCTCCTGTTTCAGTCCTTTGCCAATGTTAATTATCTCTAAAGATAAGATCTAAAAGGAATTAGGATACACGTTTTTTAGTCAAACTGGCAGAGGAAATATTAGTGATGCTACTTTCCAAGCAGATTGTTGCAGGAAAATAAGAGCAGGAATTAGTGGAGTAGTGTGCAGATACTTTTACTTGGTTTTATAGCACTACTCCTTGCATTGGTCAGGCAAGGCAGAAGGTCAAATGCAGTCCAAAAAGTAGTAGTAGCCTAGGTGTAAGTCTGAGAAGGAAAGAGCCCCTATCCATACTGACTACCTACAGATGGCGTTGTCAGCTCCAGCAGCTGATATGCTGGCAGCATACATTCTTCTTTAGGTGAAAAGGGTAAGTGGGACTGGACTGCAGAAGACTTACCTGGACATTTCGATTGAGGCTCAATGCAGGCATGAAGACGCCCTCGATGTTTTCAAATGCTGGAGGTCCTTGCTGCTGCCCATTTATGTAAAAGGTTAGGTTGTGCTTGTTCAGATCCAGGAGAACGCCAACAGTGGCACCTTTAGAAACTCCTCCTTCAGTCCTAAGGTACAAAGGAACCACACTGTTGGTGAAGGCAGAGGTCCACATTGCTGTTGTGCTCCCTAGGACAAGTCTTACTAAGCAAAGGGAGAGTGGGGCAGCATAGTGAAATGATTATCCCTGTGGCATTTGGCAATGACTGATCCACACCTTCACCTGGAACATATGTACCACATTCATGGGAACTTAATGGGTGGATCCTAAAGAGAAATTAGATCCATTTCTCCTGCAACTGCAATTTAAGAGTTGAAAATGGGGTCCAGAGCTAACGGATCCACTCAGCTGAGATATGGGGAAGTGAGCCAGTAGGGACAGTAGTCCTGGAGACACAGCACTTCAGAGATATCCCTGCTATAGTGCAGTGATACACAGCAGGAAATGAAAAGCAGGAAGCTGGTTTCCTAGGTGTTCATTTCTAATCATTATGCCTGCTAACAGCTCAAGACCCAGACTTCAACCACTCACCTTGGCGTGCTCCAAGGAGACCCAGATTTTCAGAGTCCAGAGAGCCAGCACAGTTATAACAGACAGTGATTTTGTGGAGGAAGGGAAGGTGGGGATGGTTACAAATAAGTGTAGTTCCCAGAGAGACAAGGTGCTCAGCTATCAGACTGTTAAAAGTGGGAAAGTTGAGAGCTGTTTCAAGTGTGCAGGCATGGTTATTAATGCCAGTGATAATTGGTTGTGTCAGGAGCAGCTGCTGAAATCTACTGTAGTATCAGAGCTTGCCAGGACAGACTCAGCCAGACATTACATGCTTGAGTGATTTGACATTAATGCACTTTGACTTGGGGGTTAGTCAAACCCAGTATTACTTTAAAGAACACAGAGCAAAAATATCTACTAGATATGCAGATTGGCCACAGGCACTGCTACTCTGCTAATATCATGGGGCTCTGCGATGGATTTACCGCCTGACACAATTTGTTCGGGGTAAATCAGATTTCAAGTAATTTGCAGGGGGAAAGGAAGCAGCTGTCTGTTGTCCCATGCACTTGCCTCAGGCACACAACATTCACAAGATTAATGCGATTTTAACATAAAATTTATCACAATAGGTCGGCAAAACATTAAAAAAATAGTGGGGGTAGGGATCAGAATAGGATTAGGAAGAATATAGTGCAGGGTAAGAAATTTTCCTCTTGTCCACTAGGTGTCATAAACTGTATTCCCTTAGACTAAACGTGGCACGCGACATTTCCTCTGAAGGTAATACTATTCTGATTTCTCCGTTTAAAGCTCTTCAAATAGTAATACTATAGCTATGAATCACAGATTGGCTTTGAGATGTGTTGGATTTCAAACTTCACCATTTTGAGGTTCTTTTGATTTGCTTTTTGTTCCTATGAGCATTAGTAGATTTCTCTTTAAGCTCTTCTCCAAAACCACAAAGTAAATTTTCCATCAGAAGTTAAGATGCTTACCTCTCCTCAGTATCTCAGTATCTAGACTGTTTTTATTAAAAGAACTCAATCATAAATCTCATTACGAGATTGTGGGAAGCAAAAATACTATGATCTGGAGCTATTTACAAATAGATTACATTATTTTTTTATCTGTTTAGGATCAGCTTTAATTGTAGGGCCCCACATTTTATATCCTACTTGATATAGATTTTATGACATCCCTTTAAATGACATTGATTCTCTTACAGAAACAGAAACGGCAAATTTGCCTTTTTGATATTATTATGTTCTTTCCTATATGATAAGCTAATTTGTTTCTTGTGAGCTAATTAGCTGCATGCTGCACAATGACATTGAGTGACTCCTCTGCAGCCCCTGGGGACAGTCCCACTGAAGAGGAGATAGATGCTGCCTGCAGATTCCAGCCTAGGCAAGGGCAGTACCCAGCTGAAGCCCCTCCAGGAGCCACGGGGGTGGGGGCAGAGCAGAGGGATGGGGACCTTCTCCCTTCCTTGCTGCTCCAAATCTTGCAGGAATTCAGCAGGTAAATTTCCTCTTTCCTTGGCTGCCATCTCCCTACATTGAGTCTGACTCTGGCAGGACTAAGCAGGGACAGAGGTAAGCAGGAACTCCTCACCATGCTGCTGCCAGGGAGGATAGACCTTTTCTGAGGCTGAACAGCTGCTCTTACTGAGCACCCCACACTTTCCTTGGGAAGAGGGCTTTGAGGACTCCAGTGCTTTTTGGACTACTTTCGTGGTCACTTTCTTTAGGAGGAGAGAAGGGAGAGTCAAGGTTCATGAGCAAAATTATGCAAGGCATTTCCTCACTTCTGTACACCATTTAGACAGGATTACGGATAATTTTTCTAATAAATACCTTTGCTGTGATAAAAGAAGCCAGCTAGCTCAAGAGACAAACTGATGTTGCTCTCTCCTGGTACACTTCTGTGGCAGCATGTGTAAAAGCTGCTGCTTTTCTGTAGTGCATTTTTAAGCTACTTAATGACAGTTAGACCATAGAACCCCAGTAATCTGCAGGCCATGAAAAGGAACACAGAACTTTTTTGTTACAACACTTCCTCAATAAACACTTAGCATTCATTAACTGATCATCCCATTCTGGAAATATGCCCCACTCTTCCATTATTTCAAGTAAATCCCACTTGTCCTGCACATTTTGATTTCTGTGTGCAACAATAAGTCCTGAGTGCAGAAGCCTGGAAGGTTGGACTGCAGAAAAGGGAATTTGGCTACCATGAAAAATTCCATTGCTTGTGGCAGTGAAGGCTGTTACTCCAAGATGCGTTCAGTAACAGCTTGGACAATGTGCCGAATAGGACTGCATGAATTGACTTGAGGAATTAGGAAGGGTAGTTTCACTATTATTGAAAAATAAGTCTTGACAATTTATGGACACTTTAATAAACTCAATAATTAGTTTAACTCTCCATTAACAATATTTTAATCTCTAGCTTTACAGCAACTTAACAATTTTACCTTGTCTATTGTCAATGACAGTATTTTTCAGTCAATTGTAACATTTTTGTGTGATGAAAAAACTTGTATTTAGATCTCTGAAATCGGTGAAGAAACTCTCCTGATTGCAGGGGGCTTTAAGACTAAAATGCAAATATTCTAGATTTTGACTTCCTGTTGTCTTTCAGTGTAAAACATTTCAGTGTGAATTCCACGTCTTTCTTTACATAAACACAGTAGTGGCTGGAGTATCACAAGTAGCACCTGGTATTCCTGCTCTTGGGAACTTCACCAAGGAATGGATCTATTGCCATGCATGCCGGTGCCTCTTGTTAACAGGCATACAGCACCTCTCATAGAATAGTTTGTTTTGGAAGGGACCTTTAAATGTCATCTAGTGCAACCCCCCTGCACTGAACAGGGACATCAACTAGAGCAAGCTGCTCAGAGCCCCATCCAATCTGACCTTGAATGTTTTCAGGAATGAGGAATCTACCATCTCTCTAGGCAACCTGATTCAGTGTTTCACCATCCACATATTAAAAAACGTTTTCCTTTTATCTAGTCTGAATTTGCTCTCTTTTAGTTTAAAACCTTGTCCTATCGCGACAGGCCCTGCTAAAAAGTCTGTCCCCATCTTTCTTATAAGCCCCCTTTAAATATTGAAAGACTACAGTAAGGCCTCCCGGGAGCCTTCTGTTCTCCAGGTTGAACAACCCCATATTTCTCAGCCTTTCTTCAGAGAAGAGGTGTTCATCTGTCTGACAATTTTTGTGGACCCATTCCAAGAGATCCATGTTTTTCCTGTGCTGAGGACCACAAAGCTGGATGCAGTTCTCCAGGTAAGGTCTCACAAGAGCAGACTAGAGGGGGAGAATCACCTCCCTCAACCTGCTGGCCAGTTTTTTTGGATGCAGCCCAGGATACAGCTGACCTTCTGGGTTTCAACTGCACACTGACAGGTCATGTCCAGCCTCTCATCCATCCTTCAAGTCCTTCTTGGCAGGGCTGCTCTCAATCCCTTCATCCTCCATACTGCTGTGACTCAGATGTAGGACTCTGCACTTGGCTTTGTTGAAACTCACAAGGTTCCCATAGGGTTCCCACTTCTCAAACTTGACCAGGTCTCTCTGGATGGCATCTTGTCCCTCAGGTGTGTCAACCACAGCGTTGAGCTTGGTGTCGTCTGTAAACTTGCTGATGGTGCACTCAATCCCACCGTCTACAACATTGATGAAGACATTAAATATAAATGGTCCCAATATGGACCCCTGAGGGACAACTCTTGTCACCAATCTCCACCTCAACATGTAGCTGTTGACCTCTGGATGTGACCATCCAACCGATTCCTTATCCACCAAACAGTCCATCCACCAAATCCATGTCTCCAGTTTAGAGAGAAGGATGTTGTGGGGAGCCATGTCAAAGGCCTTACAGAAGGCCAGATAGACATTACCCATAGCTCTTTCCTTGTCCACTGCTGCAGTCACTCCATCATAGAAGGCCACTAGGTTGGTCAGGCAGAACGTGCCCTTGGTGAAGCCATGCTGGATGTCTCAAATCACCTCCTTGTACTCCATGTGCCTTAGCATAGCTTCTAAGAGGGTCTGTTCCATGATATTCCCAGGTACAGATTTCCAGGAACAAGACTAAAAAGTACCTCCCAAACCTATAACTCTGCCCTAAAGTGTTTTCTTAACCAGTTTCCTCAACCTATTCTCAAAGATTCCCTCTGTTGTTCACAGAATCACAGAATATGATGAGTTGGAAGGGACCCATAAGGGTCATTGAGTCCAACTCCTGGCCCTGCACAGGACCATCCCTAAGACTCACACCATGTGCCTGAGGCTATTGTCCAAACACTTCTTGAAATCTGTCAAGATTCCTGGGAGCCTATTCCAGTGCCCAACCACCCTCTGCATGAAGAACCTCTCTCTAATATCCAACCTAAACCTCCCCTGACACAACTTTAGGTCATTCCCTTGGGTCCTGTCACTGGCCACCATGGAGAAGAGATCAGTGCCTGCCCCTCCTCTTCCCCTCACAAGGACATTGTGACTGCAATGAGGTCTCCCCTCAGTCTCCTCTTCTTCAGGCTGAACAGACCAACTGACGTCAGCTGCTCCTCATACAGCTTCCCCTCCAGGCCCTTCACCATCTTCATTGCCCTCCTTTGGACATTCTCTAGTAACTCAATATCTTATTATTGTGGTGCCCAAAACTGCACACAATATTCAAGGTGAGGCCACACCAGTGCAGAGCAGAGCAGGACAATCCCCTCCCTGGACTGGCTGGTGATGCTTTGCCTGATGCCCCCCAAGGACACGGTTGGCCCTCCTGGCTGCCAGGGCACTGCTGACTCATGTTCACATTGCCATCAACAGGACCCACAGGTCCCTTTCCATGGCATTGCTTTCCAGCATCTCACTCCCCAGTCTGTACAAACATCCAGGGTTGCCCCATCCCAGGTGCAGAATCCAGCACTTTTCCTTGTTGGTGATTGCCCAGTTGGTGATTCCTCTGGTTGGTGATTGCCCAGTTCTTCAGTTTGTCAAAGTCTCTCTGCAGGATTTATCTGCCTTCCAGGGAGTCAATAGCTCCTCCCAGTTTTGTATCATCTGCAAACTTGCTTAGTATCCCTTCCAGTCCTGCATCCAAGTCATTTCTGAAGATGTTGAAGAGCACAGGGCCCAAGATGGAGCCCTGTGGAACCCCACTAGTGACAGGTCACCCCATTCGCTATTACCCTCTGTGCTCGACCTATGAGCCAATTGCTCACCTACCGCAAGATACGTTTATCCAGCTGTGTGCTGGACATTTTGTCCAGAAGGATCCTGTGAGAAACAGTATCAAAAGCTTTACTGAAATCCAAAGAGGTTGCGTCAGCTGGTTCGTCTTGATCAGATAGGTCATAAAAGGAAACCAGTTTTGTAAGCAGGTCTTTCGTCTAGTGGAGCTGTGCTGGCTGTGACCAATGACTGCATTGTCTTCCAGGTGTTCTTCAATACATCCCAGAATAATCTTCTCCATAACTTTACCAGGCATGGAAGTGAGACTGACAGGCCTGTAGTTTCCAAGGTCCTCCTTTTTGCCCTTCTTGAAAATCGGGACAACGTTCACCAGCTTCCAGTCAGCTGGAACCTCTCTGGATTCCCAAGACTGGTCAAAAATCATTGAGAGAGGTTTTACGATGACATGAGTCATCTCTTTGAGGATTCTGGGATGAATCCCATCAGGCCCTATAGATTTATAAGGATCCAGTTTGAGCAGCAGATCCTGAATAATTTCAGGATTGACTGGGAATTGATAATTCTCACAGCCATGGTGCTCTAGCTCAGGGCACTAAGACCCCCTTGGTCTGTTATCTGTGTTGAAGACAGAGGCAAAGAAAGCATTAAACACCCCTGCCTTGTCTCTGTCCCTGTTTGTGAGGTGACCATCCTCATCCTGTAACGGGACAATGACATTCCTATACTGCCTATTGCCATTAATGTATTTGAAAAATCTCTTTTTGTTGTCATCCAGATTTCTGGCAGCTTAAACTCCAGCTGAGCTTTGGCTGCACAAATTTTCTCCCTACAACAGCAAACAGCATCTCTGTATCCTTCCCATGTCACTTGACCTTGCTTCCACTGTGCATACACCTCATTTTTTGCCTTATTTCCAAGAGAAGATCCCTGCTGAGGCAAGTCGGCCTTCTGCCTTGCTTGTTTGACTTCTGACATTTGGGAATTACCTCCTCCTGTGCCCTTAGGAGGTGATGTTTAAGAAGTGACCAGCACTGATGGACCCCACCCCCTGCAAAAAACATTTTCCTAGGGGACCTTACTTACTAATTCCTAAGCAGCCTGAAGTCTGCTCTCCTCATGCCCAGAGCTGTGGTTTTGTTGGCACTTTTCCTCCTGTCAACAGAGATTCTAAACTTGACCACTTTGTGGTTGCTGTGGCCAAGACAGCCACCAACCTCCACTTCACTCACAAGATCCCCTCTGTTGACAAGCAGCAGACCAAGGAGGTCATCTTTCCAAGCTGGATCCCCTAGGACCTGTTCCTTAAAGTTGTAATCCAAGTTTTCTAGGAATCTTCTGGCCCAGGTTGTAGCAGCTGTATGATGCTCCCAGTTAATTTCTGGCAAGTTGAAGTCCCCAATAAGGACAAGGGCAGTTGACTTGGAAGTGTCCCTTAATTCCTCAAAGAATAATTCATCAGTGTCATTATCCCAGCTAGGAGGTTTATAGTAGACCTATAGTAATGCTTTTTGTTAGCATTACAGTCTTCTGTTCATGCCTCTTCCAGCATTACAGAAGTCATGCTAGTTTTTAAGAATGTAAGGAAATCCAATTTTGCATGCTGTGAGTGAAAGTCCTCTAAAGAAAAGTCCTCTAAATGTGACATGTTGCATGAATCAGTCTTTCAAGCTCTATCTCAGGTTATTTTTGAAGATGGTCATTTATTTATTGCCCTAATTTATTCTCGTGAAGCTTAGGAAGCATGAAACTATTATTAAGGTGTAACTTTCATCATACTAACATCCAAGAGACTAGAAGTCAACAATGAATATCCTTCGGACCGTGATACAGTGCCGTCATGCACTTGCATCCAGTGGGGAAAAACAACTAGGCAGCAATAACTCTTTCCACAAGACTATTACAGCTAATGAGTTAAAAAACTGACCTAGATGACTGTCACAGTTAAAAATATAATGCCTAGACCTAATTTCATTGAAGCGCATATGATTTCATAAGACTACATGCCCTTTGCAAGTGTACTTCACTTGAACAGATATTCCATGGGTCTATCTATGCCTTGGATGTGCCTTTGCATTTTTTCAGATAAAAACTGGGAAATTATCATCAACAGAAAGCACTTTTTTCTCGTGATTAAGAAGGATGATTGGAAATCCTAAGTGTTTCCATTGTTTGTGCTTCCTAGAAAAAAAGCTTTTGCTTAGGTTGCGTGTGGCTTGCCGGGAGGAGCATGCTGAGGACCAAATCCATAAAATAGGTTTCTGGGACAGTAGTACACAGAATGGTTGCCAGCCTTTTTCCAGAAAACATAAGCTGTTCCACAGAGCATTAAAATTAATACAGCTTAACATTACTTCCGCCCTAAATCGAATCAAGATGTTAAAGGGACAGAGAACTTTTTATATATTTATTATACTGATGTTATTTTATTCTATTTTGTCTTACTGATGTTATTTTACTCTATTTTGTCGTAGGACATGATCTAAGGTCTTTAGAGTCACGGAAAACAACCCAATTGACTTCAGATGGCTTTTGATCTAGCTAAAAGATTCTTCCACCTGTCTGTAATGAACTGCAAAGTCAAACCATATTTCAAACAAAAATTCCCAGGAATTGCAATATATGTACTTAAAATACAGGTAAGCTGCAGAATATAAATAACTTCAACAGGAGACATTACAACCAACCTTAGGATACAGTGCATGTTGACATGAACTTATCCCTTTAAGAAGCTACCTGCACTTGAGTGTTTTAAAAATCACTGCAAAACTTTCTTTTAATCATTTGGTGTAATAGAAACAACACCTGAGATAATGAGTGTGGAAGACCTGCTGGGACAGTCAGTAGAAAACTAAACCGAAATTGATTCCTGCTCTGCCACAGACCTGCTACATATCCTTGGTCAGTCACTCTATTCCTACATCAATCATTGTGACAGAATAGGTATACGAATACACCATTTTTCATTTTCTCTTCAGAGAAGATCTTCTCAAGGATCTCAGTTACTGTAGCACTCAGCTGACCTTCAGCTAAGGCCTCCCCTCTCATGGGACACAGAGAGAGAGCAGTGCAGTTCTGCTCTGGTGATACCTCAGGAGCTTCATGCAAAGTTGGCCATGTCTCCCCTACACAGTCTGGCATCACTTCAATGAAACTAAGCCAGCACTAGGCAGAAGGAACTATCCTGAGCACTGAAAGTCATGCAGCCATGTCAGCACAACACAGGATCTGTGCTGACAGTCATTTTCTCTATGTGATCCGCCCCTGGATGTAGCTTCAGCTAGAACATGTCTCCCCACTGCTCTGTTGCATAGAGAACACAGAGCCTCTGAGAGGTGGAAGAAAGTGTTAAGAGTGGTTTGGGGGCTTTCTGAAATCCTCCTTTGTCTAAGTTGCTTGTTGTAGTTGAGATGCTTCTCAAAGCTCTTCGGTACAATGGCTCAGTTGAATGAAAGCTGTCACTTAGCCCTCACTGTCAGAGAATCCCTTGTGCCCAGATCTGCCTAGGTGTGACCCATAGCATTACCTTTAATCAGCTTTCAGGACTAGAAATAAACACTTGCATTTGGAATAGGTGATCACCTGTGCTTTGCCTAATTGTTTTGCAAACCCACAGCCAACATTCCTCCTACTAAAGAGAATCAACCACCTTTCTCCCTATGCTCCTCCAGCAATGAGAGACAAATCCTACATACCATTGTGTTGTGCTTCCATCTGCTGATGTGGATGGGACACACAGTAATGGGATTAAATCACAGCAGGGGGGATTTAGGCTAGACCTGAGATAAAAACTGCTAACAGTGAGAATAACAAACACCAACACAGATTGTTAAGGTGCAATCACTGTCACTAGTGATTTTAAGAAGTAATAAAATAACTACATTTAGCCAGTAGTTGGACTAGATGGCTCGCTGAGGCACTTGCCTCTGATGTACAGCAGAAGAATGAAAAATGCAGTAATGAGAAAAGCTTGCAAGCAGCACTTACCGATTGGTGTGAGAATTGCAGTGCATGAACCAGCTGCGGTTGTTGTCAACGTACATGGCCCATGCCTTGTCATCCTTGCCCAGCATCATGTCCTTGACAACGTTAATCCTGGCAATGCCAAAGGCCGGATCTGGATGGTTGTCATACCGGTCCACATGCAGTTCCCAGTAATGCACGCCCTTGGAGAAGGCTGCTGTGCCAAGAACAACCCGGTCATCGTAGCTGTTGCAGGTGGCAGTCTGGTTGTCATTTGACAGCACTATGTCTCTGTGAGCTGAGGAGGGGTCAAAGGTGAACCACGCCACTGCAGAAGGGAAAAAGGAAAGGCAGGATATTATATTAGGAGGGGCTGTGTCCAAGTGGTGACTCCTTTTCTTCAATAAGAAGGATGGGATTCTGCTTTCCTAAAAACCCCACTGCACTTCAAGATAATAAAGGCAATCTTTCCTTGGTACTGTAGGCAGCTACACAAGACTGATCTGAGTTGGTACACAGCTGTTCTTCAGCTCAGAAGTGCCTTTTATCATCTATGATTGTTCCCCTGAAGTTAAGTTGCTAAGGACAGTGACTTTCTGTTCACACGCAGTAACAAGGAAGTCACTGAGGAGACAAAAACTTCTTCATGATGTGGAAACTGCTCACATAGGTGAATTGGTTCAACCTCCCTTTTAGTGGAAATAGAGATCTGCTGTGCTGGTGCTGGTTAGGACTGACTTCACTATTTTATCAAAGTGAAGTTCTTTTAAAAGAAGTTAAAAAAAGAAAAAGCTCTTAAAGTTTAAATATTTTATACTGGCCTATTTTGGCAACACAGCATAGAAGTGGAAGTGGTAATAGCATGCACTTCTTGATTCATTACAGTATCATTAACGAAGATGAACTTCCTGTAATGTCGTTATGGATGTCAAGTATAATTACGGAGGAACAAGCATGAATTCCCATCTCTGTATTATCAAACCTTGCTGGAAAATTGAAGCAGTAGTGAAGAAAAAGGCAAATCCCAAAGATATATGAAGAAGGGGAGACAGAGTGGAACAAAAAGTATCACGAGTTGCATAACTACTTCTGTATGCTAAAACAAGCAAGTATCTTAGTTAAATCCTAGATGTTTACAGCCAACTAAAAATCACAAGATTTGAAACCTGAAGTGTTACTGATAATGGAAAATCACCAAAAGTGGTAGGAAGAGAGCTCAGTCCCTGTGCACACTCTGTTCCTCACCTCTTCTCTCAGATGATCCAAAATCTCCATGCCCTAAGTGTCAAATACATTAGTGGGTGTAAAGGTATGCAAGTGTCATGCCACTTAGACCTGCAGCTTTTCACTTAAAAACTGGCAAAAACCCAACTCACCATCGGACGTCTGTAAAATAACTGTCTTGCTGTAAGGACCAACTCCCGAGGAGTTGAAAGCTTTGACTCTTGCATTATAAGTGCTGTTGAAATGAAGGCCATCAATGGTGCAGAGAGTCTCCTTGCCCACATATACTTCCTAAACATTCCAAAAAATAAAAAAAAGGGAGAGAGAGAAAGAGGGACATAATGTAACTGTTTCTCTGTGCCTCATGGTCACATGTTAAGACTTCCATAAATATAAGCCAAAGTGAACAGCTTCTCATTTTTTCCTGGGATGTGGCAATTATACTGTTATATCACAGGCAGCCACAGCAGTGAAGACATCAAGGATTGCTAGCAGTGGAGACACTAAAATGAAGACAAAGCTGGAAGGGTAAAGCAATATAGGACAACAGACAAATCTTGATTTTTATCCCCTTTTCCTAAATATCTACTCCAAACCACTATTTTGGATAGTAGTCCCAGTGTCTGACACATTGTGGTCATTATTATATTTATGTAAGACAGAAAGAGGGGGACATATAAAAATAAAAAAGCCAAGTAAGTGCAGTTTTATTCTGTTGGAAAGGTTATCTCATGCCTGAGTTAAAATATGATTTTGAAACCTTAAAACAGAGAGCCAGAAGAAAATGATCACCTAAGAATTAGGATCACACGCATCACATGACAAAACAGTAACTAGACAACAGAGACATCAAAAAAATCTGCAAAGATTTATAAAACAGCAAGTACTTGTGTAATGTGAAATATTTCAGGAAGAGGAACATCTAGGCAGACCAATGAAGAGGATCAGTCAAAATATACAAGCTATTATGGACTGAAAGAAGCCTAGAAACCTTATGTTTTTTTGAAAACCGAATAGAAATTGACAGAAAAGGAAAAAAATCCTGTTTCGGCAGCAGGTTGAAAGACACAATTCCTTTCCCCCTCTGACTTCTCTGACTCTGTGAAATCCACAGGTTTATGGTAGCAAAGGCCCTGAAGTGCTTAAGCCTGTCACTAAGCAGGCCACTCAGGCCTCAGTTCAGTTAAGACACTTAAGTACATGCCTAGGAATAGTTCTGATGATCAGGGCTCTTTGCTATGAACCTATAGTGAATTAAGTATGTGATGAATAGGAAAGGGATTACTTAAGTTTACAGCAGGCCATATGTTTGGCCACTTTGCTACCATGGTGGCTGCTACAAACAACAAAATCTCTTGGGTCCTGAGTTAGCTGGTGATCTTTCATGGAGACAAAGAGTTTTCTTAGAATAACTTAGTTTATCTCCACGTCCGTGCAATTGTCTGTGCAAAAAAGTTGTATTTGTAGGAAAACTCTCACATTTTCTAGTCTGCTTCATTTTTACCACTGTTCACTGTTTCTATTTATTCAGATTCTGCTCCAATGGGAGACAAAAACTGTTCTTTAAATCCACCCACGAAATACTGATAAACATTGGTCAATGTAATTGCTTTCAGATATATAATTCTTCATTTAAAAAGTTAGCAAATCCTTGTGGAAATGGCACTGCTGAGAAGCCTGTCTTTTATCTTTTAATGGGTAAATCTGAGGATGTTTCTACCACAGCAAGCAGAGCATTCCCCTCAGAACTTGTCACCCTATATTTTTAAGGATTGAGATGGTTCTGTAACTTTTTCAATCCAAAATCTTGACATGGCAATGCCGACAGTCCTAAAACTGTTGGCAGTTACAAAACCCACCCACACAAATGAGCTTGGGTACGCACCAGCCTGAAGTCTTGTTATTCACAAGTATTTATTAAGATGTGCATACTATTTGAAAACATCTATCAAAGACACCGGAATTCTAACACTTTGTTCCTATCTCTTCATTCATTGCACACTAATAACACTCTCGTCTACTAATATTAACTATATTGGCAGCTCCCAGCAGCCATTCACAAAAGTATTTTTTACGCTCTCCGTAATGGAGACCAAACCCCTGTAAAATGTTACTTAGACCAAGGAACCGAGGAGACCTTACAAAACCACAGTGCACTCTTCAAAATGCCCTGCCAATATTGCTGCCTCTTCTAATAAGGGGTGTCCAAATCAGGTACCTTTACTGGCTGTGAGTGTAGTGGTTTGGCACAGGGAGGCAGTTCCTTAGGTGGATCCATGCCAGGATATTTTCAGCTTGAGAAATCTTTAAGTTTCCAGTGAGAAACCAGTTTGCAGCTCCCAAAGGAATGCCATCGCATGGTTTTGGCAAAATTTCCCATTTGTGAAGAGACCAACTGTACCCCAAAATGATCTCCAAATGCTTTCAAGGCACTAGCCCCTAGGGAAAGCACTAGGCCAGCCTGGTCCTGGAGCAACAGGAGCCTGAAGCCTGCCTGACAAGGAAGAGCCACAGCTTCTAGCAAGACACGTCTGGCAGAAAGCTGATCGAATTACTTCTGTAGTTTATTTTTTAGGATATGTCAGGAAAGGATGGGAGCCTGTAAGTACCCTGCACCAGCAACCAGGAGCAATTAGTTGTGACATTCACCCTGAGGTTCTTGAAGTACAGCACTTGGGATGCCTTTCCATACTTACCAACTCCATCACAGCTTGTCTGTGAAAAGTTTCCACCAGCGTGGTCTCATCCACTCCCAGGGAAAAGTTTTACAAATCCTGTATTTTTATGCAGGATTTCATTTCCGCTCAGAGAATCAAGAAAAACTGAGTTGCATTTCTGGAGCGAGAATGTCAGCTGTTGAAGTAGGGTGCTTTGGACAGATGAGAATAAGGGCTTCAAAGAAATCGATGTTGTGTGCATGAACCGCTTCCAGCTCCTGCAGGCTGGTATGAGATTTTCTGCTTTGGTACACTCCAGGGATGCCTCAAGGCCTGCTTTGCGAGAGGCTTGAGAATAACCTCAGCCAAGTTTCTACCTAAACCAGTGGTCCTTCTAATAAGCAGCATCTGCACTGCTTTCTACATCAACACAATGGAAGCAGGGATGTCTTGACAGCTTGTGTCTTACCTAACCCCTCTCCCCACCCTCAGACAGAAACAAATCCATATCCAGAGGAAACTCACATACAAAGAAACACAAATAAATGCTGAATGAAATTCTCACTCGGAATTGGCCACCATCTCCATCATCAAGTTCCAAGATATAACCCTCCACTGGGTTGTGGCTCAAAGGTGGCATCCTCCAGGCCAATGTCACACTGTTGTTTCTGGTGCAACACTTCTCCAGCTGCAGTAATGGGACGGGTGGCACTGAAACAGGAACTGGGTACAGATTAGTGTAACTCTGCCCTACCCCATTAGTCTGTGCCACAAGTAGTATGGCAATGGCTCGCTTCCCTCCCCTCACAGGGGAGCCGGTATTTGTTAGGAAGAGGGTCCATTCCCTTTCTTGAAACAAAAGGCAGTAAAAATGATATAACAAGCTGCTGTTAGCCAGTTAGACAAATAATTTGGCTGAAATACGTAAACAGAAACATATCTGGACTTGCTTCTGGTGCCTCATAAGAACTACAGTGTGGGGACCTCATGTTTGGCTTCCTTCCAAGGAGTCACCGTCTGGAATTCCAGAGTTTTTTCTCACACTAGAGCACCCGCTGTCCCCAAGAGGAGGGGCAGGGAGCGTCTCAGGCCATAGGGCAGCATGGAAGATGCAGCGCTGCCAGGAAGTTCAGCGCGTTACCAAAGAATTGGTTTATGAACCAGCAGACCAGCCCTTCCTCCCAGCACGGTAGCAAGACAGAGCCTGAACTTCAATAACAGTAGGAAGGTAATTCATCACTCTAATTGTGTTTTTTTTTAAAAACCTAATCTAATTTTTAAAATCTAATCTAATGCACCACCCCCATTCCCCCCAGCTTTTCATTAAAACCACCTTGGATATGTTATCTTTATGGAAGCCATACTTTAAAGAAACTGTTGAAGAAAACTGTTCCAATTGCAAACTTTAGCTAAATCCCTTGGTTTGGTGAGCAAAAGGGACTCCTGCACCACAGGAGACTCCTCTTGGAGTCACAAGTGTGAAGTTATCTACCAATGTGCCTTTTTAGTGACTTGCTCAGGAGAAATATCAAGAGCAGCATCTTAAAAACAAAAATAAACAGAGTAAAACATTCAGCTGTGCTTCTGTGGGAAAGAGGCCTCTATCCTACCTCTCCTAAACACAACTAGACTCTCACTGTTCACTCTTTGCTAAAAATTATAAAGTGAAAATTTAATCTTCTGGATAGACCAGGCATGTATCTTTTGCACTGCTGAGACCATACAGGTTAAGTAGGATGCAAGGAATGCACAGACCCTGTCTGGTCTTCTGCCCAAGACTGAATTTCACCATTCAGTATCATTTCTGCAGAGCTCAATCATATCTTACAAGGAACTGAGCAGTATGAGCATTCATTGACTTAGTTCTTAGCAATATCAGTTTGCTCTTCTTTCATCTACTCTGCTTTGACCCTCTAGTTTATTTTTTCCCATTCTGTCTGCATGAGACCTAAGTCCTTGTGCTGTTACTTTCACCCTATTTTACATCTCTGGATCAAACAGGACTGTTCACATTTTATGTACCAAACAGACTGTGGGAAAAAGGACGATACTGTGTGATGGGGCTAAGGCTTCACCCCTACTTTGGAAATGACACAAAAGTCAACATCAGACTTGTGATAAACAGTGCAGAAGATACCATGGCTTTCTGCTGGCATTATCCATCACCACAGTGAATGCAGATGGTTGGTAGCCTAGAAGAATGAAACAAAAGAGCTTTATAAATCAGCTCTTGAAGGTTTTTCTGAGAAAAGAAAGCCTTGTTCCTATTCCTTGATATTTAAGGGTGATTCAGAGAGTGTCATAAATAAAAACCTACTTGTTTTCTCACATGGGAAGTTCAGACTCTTCTCTATGAGACACTATGTCTGGAGAAGTAACAGAAATGCGACATTACAAGGGGCAAAAACCCAAAAATGAGCAATTCAGAGATAATGGGATTTTTTAAGTGAACAATTTCAACTTTAGAGTTTTTCTGTGATTGTTAGCCCATGTATTCCCAGTGACTGATAAGCCTGGGAGAAGATAGGGTTGTGTCAGCCATCCACACTCCTGCCACTTTTGCTAACGAGTTAACCCTCTCAGGAGGCATTCCCCAGGTCCTCCTCATTTCTAAGACTCTCCTGGCAAGACTGGATGAAAACCTAATTCCTGAAGTCTTTAAGATGCAAAATAGACAATGCTGCCTGACCTCTAAGTAAACCACTAACCTTTCCAGCCCTGGAAAAAAACTCCTAGGAACACTGATGGGAGGCTTCCAGGGACTCTTCATGTAATGCACATTGCTGGGGGAAAAAAAAAGAGCAGAATTTTTGGAGAGAGTAACTGTTTTATGAGTCCTTTTTAATTACAGAATCATGAATACCATCTAGGAACAAAATATGCTTTCATCCAGCAAAGTGCTCTTGTTCCCACTTCCCAGTGGAAGCGTGAATTTTACACTGTGTGCGATAGTTACACATACTGTGGGGAGGTTCCTTGTCTCCTTTACCATGTTGCTGGACGTTCAAGTTTTTGTGTCTAATTCATATCAGCCTCCTACTCTTTTTGAGCCAGCCAGTGGCCTGAACTGCACAACTCTCCTAAAGGAGAGGTAAGATGTTCATGCCAAGGAGCTGTGCAGCTTTGCTTGATGATGCTTTCTGTGCCTGTCCTCCTGCCTCCTCCACTGTATGCAGATGGGCAAAGATTTGCCTTGGGCTCAGATTACCTTTGGGAGGAGAAAAGATGAACACTTGTAAAAGTCATAGGAAAGCGCAAAGTGAGTTGCATAATTGGGACACTGGTATATACAGGGAAGAGCAATGGGACAGGACTAAGAAAAGAAAAATATAGGCTAAGTGCCAGGAAAAAAAGACTCAGATGTTAAATTACAGTGCTGTCCCACTTCTTGTTCAATTTAAAGTCCTCCAGAGACTTTTTGAAGGAAAAGATTAAAAATATAAAGGGAAAAGTGATACTGCATTGGCACAGCAAGACCTGTTAATGAGTCTGAACGATGTCCTTCTATTTTTAAAGTGCTTCATGCAGGTCACTCTTAGATAAAAAATGTGATACTGATGTCTCATGTCAACTCAGCAGTCCCCAAAACACATCGCTCAATGTATCTCACAGCTGATGAGGGTAGTCCTCTCACGGGGAACAATACGGCTGCTCTAAGGTGTTGTCTGTTGTCTTCTTGACAAGTAAGTGGTGCAGTGATGCCCTCTACCTTCCCAGATTAATTTTTGAAGTACTAAATGCAGTGAAAGAACAGGACCCTCAGAAACATGAAAACTTGGATCTTCAAAACTGCAGTACAGCCCTGGAACAGCCTGAGTCACTGATGTAGCAAGTGCCCTACAAACAGTGTTACCAAGAGAGAAGGAAAGAGGATAGTCAAAGAGACCTGAGTCCATGACACAGAGCAGAAAGAACCAAGGGCAAAGCCTACAATGAAACAGCTGCCCTTTAATTATCAGAGCTGTACAGCTCATGGCTGGAGAAGCAGACATTTGTGGAATGTGATATGTCTGGGCAATCTTCATGGACTGGTCTGCAGAAGAGGGAAGGAATCACTCCTGAGGAGAAGGGGCATATGAATGAATATTCAGAGGTGGTACAGAAAAGTATTCTATTTTGTACCTAGTCTCTGTTTTACCACAAACCATGACTGCATGACAGTTCAGCTGTGTGAACAAAACAAACCTGGAATATGTATTTGCCTGTTCCCATAGCTTTAATTTAGGAAATGTGATGTACGCATTAAGCCAGTCATCAGAGGACAGGAAATTTGTGCCAAGGCACTCAGTAAAAGCAATAGAGAGAAGAAAACATGGACAGAGAAAAGGATCTGGGAAAGCTCAAAAGGCCAGCAATTATTAGAGTTGTATGTGTGCCTCAGCAGGCCAGCTGGCCTGGGAAGAGTGGGACTCTTGCCAGAGGATTATCAGTGAGACCCTTTGGTCAACATGATTGCTTAAGCATTACTTCTGCACCTATCACATCTCTGCACATTTAATTTGTTACCAAATTGCTTTTTCTTTCTGATTTTTATCTTTTGAGATGAGCTTTAGATACACGCTTATAGAGAGTCCATCGGTAAGGCACATGAACATGTCATCAAAGCAAATGTAATGTGATTTGTTCTCATTTTCGTTCTTCTTTGTCTACCACAGTGAATCAATGTTTACTTACAAGCATGCTTTCACTCTAAATGACCCATGCAAGCTCACTGAGGTTGAATGAGGCCAGAGTTTGAAAAAAAAATATAGAAATTCAGTCATGCACTAAGCATTGACAACAATAGTACAGACCTTATATTGCAAAGCTTTTGGAACAAAACGATTTTCAGTCAGAAAAGCCACGCTGGCCCTATTCCCCTAGATCTCCCCAAAACTTCCTTTACAGATTATCTCTGACATCTTTAATGCATCTGCTTTTCTCAGATCGACCACTGCAGTGACTTATTAACATTCACTCCAACACCGGCATTTGGCAAATATTGATGACTTGTTGGTGTGCTGGGGCACGTAGGATTGAAGAAAGAGAAGCAGATGTGAAGAGATACATACATTTTTTCTTTGTGAAACTGCAGGTTTCAGAAATATGCAAGTTCTCATGGTGATAAATAGCAGAACATCACCCTGCTATCCTAGGTTCTCCTCACAGTCAGAGAAGTGATATTCCCAGTAAGTCTGAATGCTCACTCCTGAAATGCAAGACTACTACGTGTGAGAAGATGCAAATCATGCATTTGAAGAAGGACAAATCATGCCTGGAAAACTTGGTAGCCTTCTATGACAGGGTTACAGCAGTGGTGGATGAAGGAAAAGTGACTGGTGATACCTACTTGAAGTTGTCCCAAAGCATTTGACACTGTTCCACACAACATCCTTGTCTCTAAACTGGAGAGACATGGATTTGACGGATAGACCTCTCTGTGGATAAGGAATTGGCTGGATGGTCACACTCAAAGAGTTGCAGTCAATGGATCAATGTCCAAGTGGAGATCAGTGACAATTGGTGTTCCTCAGGGGTCAGTAGTGGGACTGGCACTGTTTAACATCCTTGTCAGTGTCAAGCTATGTTGTGTGGTCGACATGCTGGAGGGAACAGATGCCATTCAGAGGAACCTGGACAGGCTTGAGAGGTGGGCTTGTGCGAAGCTCATGAAGTTCAACAACGCCAAGTGCGAGGTCCTGCACCTGAATTGGGGCAACCCCAGGTACAAATATAGGCTGGATAGAGAATAGAGCAAGAGCGGTCCTGGAGAGAGGGACTTGGGAGTGTTGGTGGATGAAATGTTGGACATGATCCATCAAGGTGCATTTGCAGTCCAGAAGGCCAAACATGTCCTGGGCTGAAGCCCAAAAGAGGTGTGACCAGTAGGTTGATGGAGGTGATTCTGCCCCTCTGCTCTGCTCTCCTGGGACACCACCTGGAATACTGCATACAGCTTTGGGGCCCCAGCACAAGAAAGAAGTAGAATTGTTAGAGTGGGTCCAGAAGAGGGACATGAAGATGATCAGAGGGCTGGACCACCTCTCCTATGAAGACAGGCTGAGAGAGTTGGGGTTGCTCAGCCTGGAGAAGAGAAAGCTCCAGGGAGACCTTATTGTGGTATTCCAGTACCTAAAGGGGACCTACAAGAGAGCTGGAAAGGGACATTTTACAAGGGCATCTAGTGATAGGACAAGGGAGAATGGCTTCAAACTGAAAGAGAGTAGGTTTAGATTAGATGTTAGGAAGAAAGTCTTTACTGTGAGGTGGTGAGGCACTGGAACAGACTGCCCAGAGAAGTTCTGGATGCCCCATCCCTGGCATTGTTCAAGACCAGACTGGATAGGGCTTTGAACAGCCTGGTCTGGTGGAAAGTATCCCTGCCCATGGCAGAAGGGTTGGAACTAAGTGATCTTCAATGTCCCATTCCAACCCAAACCATTCTGATTCTAAGATAATGCAGAGCTGGTTGAGAAGTCATAGGGGTAAAATTTCAGGAAAACAAAAGGCCAAAGTGCCAGACTAAACAGTTCAAATGGAAACAGACTTCCTGTCATAAATGGAGAAATATAAATATGCTTCTATATACTAAACAATCCTCAATATCTATGAATGTTAGGTTGGAACCAGTCACTGGTTTATTCTGCTTGGGCACACAGAGGCGTGAGGGGAAATAATGCCATCTCTCATGCACTTTCGGGAATGGTGGCCAGGTTAGCACCCTTTTCACAATTTTTGCATGGTGTGTACAGGTCATACTGGTTGTGCTGACCAACCTGATGGGACATGCAACAGGTAATCCCTAATCAAGACCAAGACAGCTCAAGCAAAAGCCCTTCCTGAGATACCTCTGGGGAGCAAAGCCCAAGGGTGTTGGGAAGCTCTGCACAGGTTTGGGCAGAAGCAGTCTTGTTCTCTTCTCTGCTCCTCAGACTGTGTCTAGCTCGGTACTAGAGCTTCACAGTGATTTGTATTATAAATGAGAGCATAGCAGACAACACTATCTTTCGAAAAGCCCTAGTGAATTTGGCTCATTAAAGTCTTGTGAGTCTCCAAGCTTAAAGTCAGATGAATGTCCAAAAGCCAAACACCGAAGTTGCCCTCACCTCAGATGACCTGTGGTTAATTAGCAATCTATGTGACTAGTTTAACTAAATATTACATATGTTTGTAAAGGAGAGTAGTGGAAGATTAGTATTAAATATATTTTACAATAAATATGGCCAGCATTAAATATCAACTGATTTTAGAAGACAAGAGCAGACAGTATTCAGAGGAGTTTTATCAGTACTATTCTTTCTCTCTTGACTCCACTCCCCTATCTGACAACATTTCAAAGGAGCAGTTCTCAGATGTTTTTTGAGTAACTTTAACACAGCTCACTTATATCAAGATGCAAACCATTCTTGGTGAGCAGACTCTGGTCTTTAACTGTTTGTCCGTTGTTTCTCCACATATTTCTCTGTCAAAGTATCCATCCTAATTACTTCATCTTGGATCTCTCAGATACAGAAGTAGGCCCACATAAACTGAACAGAAATCTTTATGCTTGCTCAGATTAAAAAAAAAAAGCACATCAGACATCACAACGTGAATGTCCTTAACTCATTCACTGATTTCTGGCAGCCTTTATCCTGTCATCCACATCTATAATTAAGACTTGAATCACCAATGAGGGAAGCTAATGGCATCATTCCCAGGGACCACAGTGGCTTTCAAATTCAGCCATTCTATAGATCTATCTAATTCTGATGCGGTTCTCATCCTGCTCCATATAAACAAACCTCATTACAAGCTCATGATGCTAATTTTTTTTTTTTGTGGCAATGGTATCTATTGTTCATTAGCTTGTCCTTTTAAATACTTTTTTAAACCTCATTTCCCTTTAGCATGTCCCTCAGTATTATTCAAACACCTGAAACCATGGTAAAATACAGCCATGGAGCTACTTTCTCTTCGTGAATCTTTTCCTTGTGATTTTTTTTAATTAAGCTGGGAACTGTTCACAGCACAGTTCAGATATAAGTCAAAAGTCAAAGGCTGGTTGGGTTTTTTTTTTCCCTTTTCAAGCATATGTGTGTGTGTCAGTAATATTTATTTACTACTTCAGCTGTTCCTGACAAGATAGGGGCAATTGGTATTTTGAATTGACCGTGTTAAACCTAGGAATGCTACAAAATTGCATAAAGTTTATGCAGCTCCTCTCTTAATAATATGTAAAGCCTTACTGTGACGAATGTATCTTTTCAAATCTTTAACTGCATCTTGCATCTCTATCTGAGCTTGTTCAGCTCACTACACGTGCGTGGAACACACCTTTCCAGGAAACACCCAGTAATCTGAATTTGCTTGAATGCCTTTTAAAACTATTCAGCAATTTCAAGTTCTTTTTCCTCCCTCAGTGTCCTCACCCCTCCCAGCACTGTTTCAACACGTGCATGAAAAACAGAAAAAGGAAAATCATAAAAGCTCACCCCTACATTTCATCTGAATAAAATCCAGCTGGTGAATTGACTGCAGTAAAGGTTCGCTATCCAGAGTCAAGTCAAACTCAGCAGACACTTTTGGCTCCAAGGCTCCTTTGACCCACTGTTCCTGAGATACCTGAACACGCTTGATTAAAGCATCCGAAATCTGAAAGAAAGTATCATGTTTATAGTGAAATGGCAGATGCACGCATTAAAAGTGACAGAATGCCTGTGAGATACAGCACAAAGGACACAGGAATGAGACAGCACAACAGATGAGATGGGATCTGATTGTTTTGGGATGAGGTCCATTTATATTGCATCCTTTCATGTTGTCTTTTCAAAACAAATCTCATCTTAGGGTAGGAAAGTAAAAACTGTATTTATAAAGCCTGGAAAGATTACGTTGTGTGTCATGCCTTCCAATGCCACATATACTTCTGTACTCTTTTCTCTGATCTGCAGTCTATTTATGCTCTCCTGTTTAAAAAGAAGTTGCACAAAGAGAGACTTAGAGTCTCTCCATTCAGCACAGATGATTCAGTGGAGGAAACCTAAAGGAATAAAAAAAATCAAATGGTAAGAACGGTGTATATTACTCGCAGTGGGAGTTCTAAATTGTCAGATAGGGTTTCGAAGAATAGTATGGATTTTCTGCCATTACGTCAAAAGAAAATTTCATTTTTAAAGCTTTGCTCTAGCTCAGCCCACAGACAATTAGGCCAAAAGTCAGACTAAAATGATCATAACAAATTCTTCTGGAAGTGAAACCCTGGTTTCTGTGGAAATCAATGAATTTAACTGTCCTTGAGTTCATTAAAGCTGCCATTTGGATATCTGGAGACCCACCAGTGAGGTTCCTGTAAGTTACAGGGAGTAGAATTTTCTTCTGGATATGTCAGAGAGAGTTTTTCTTTATTGCAGGAATTCAGACACTTTTCCTCATTACTCTTATTGGAAGACACTCCTGTCTGAGCCCCCACATCCACAACTCCTAATCAGTCTGTGCAGTAAGTGGAGGAGCATCCCATAGCCTTCCTACAACCTTGGAGTCACTGGGATGCTGAATCCCTTGGCTGTGTCTCAATGTCCTGACTGCAGGAGTAGTTGTTCAAAGTAAAGCAGCCCGTCAGTGTTTGCTGGTTGTCTTGAAAACATCATTAGATAAATCAGGAAAAGGTAAGAACAAAAGTATTTATATTATAAAAGAATGCAAAGAATGAAGCCACAAAGGTTATAGAAAAAGTAAGCTGAAATGAAAATGAAGCATGTATCTAGCCAGCACACAGGTAAAATCTAAAGGTTTCATTTGTCCAGTAGTATCCAACCAGCAGACTGCTAAAATCTGTGTAACCTTGAGATTAATATACACCACACATTCCCCTCTCTTGCTTGAGACCAGACATGACAGTAACAATCAATCTGGAGTGCTAATAGGTTTAAGTTGGCTAATTCTCATCCTGTTTTTTAGGAATGCTCTGACAGTCCCCTAACAGTCATGCATTCACATGTACAGGGTGCCTTGTTCAGCTGACAGCCATGCACAGGTCATTTTGTTTGATGTGCCTTTCTTCGTAGCCAACTAATAAGGCAACAAAACTAATAGGGCAAAATAAAATAATTAATAAAAAATAATAGAATTAATAAGAAAAATAATTTATGGATAATAGAACTATTATGTTTTGCCTCATAAACAGGCACTTTCACTGCTTGCACCTAAGAAACAATATCCTGTAAACTAAGGCAGCTAGGCCATATTTTGCAAAGAAGGGGTTACCTGGATCCTCCAGCTTCAAGACAGGCCTTGCAGCCCTGCGAGGTACAACAATCCCAGTAAAGCACAGCTACATGCAAGCCCTTCAGGCTGGATTTCCTCACAGAGGACGTGTTGAAAGGACTCTCACATGGGAAGGTAAAAGGGAGAAGTACAAAGGGCAAATACTACTCTGCTGAGTCACAGACCTCTCTGAATTGATCAGGGAGCTCTGTGTTGCATTTCTTGCATGAATAAAATAATATTCTGCAGAAAGCTATCATTGACTACATAGCATCTTTATTGCAGCCCAGAAGGAAGGACTGGCAAGAGGAAAGACATCAGCAGTCAGGGAAGTGCTGTGACTGCTCGGTCAGAGTGCAGCTGTTAAAGCCATCTCTTTGCTGGGACATTCATGCACCAAGATCCCTGAGCTTTCAGACAGTACTATCAGGACTTAAGGTGAACCTGTCTTGGAGGTGGAAGAGGCTAATAAGCAAAGCCACACATTTTTAGATTTAGCTTTAATGTATTTTCTTTTCTTTTTTTTCCCCCAGGACATTGGAAAGAAAAATACCTGTAAAAACCCAGAGGGATCATTTTCTTTGATAACTTCTAGGCAGTACTCCATAAGCCCTGTTGACTGGCGTAGCTTCAGTGTACAGTGATTTATCTGGTCCCAAACAACCTGGAAAACAAGCATCGGTACAGTTCTGATGAGTGCCTCAGCTTGCAGTGAATTGTATAAAATTATTTCAGAATAGACAACGAATGGAAGAGTGTGTTAAAGCTATGCTTAATTTAGCTGCCATATGGCCATTGCCTTATCTCCATCAGCTTCACTCACTCTGTATGGTAAATACCGATAATTAGCTTGGCAAAATGTTGTGCACGGGGAATCTCAATTTTCAGAGCAGATTAATTGCTCAAAGATCAGGCTTGCTCAGGGCAGAAAGAGCACAGAACATGTTTCTGCATCTGCAGTGTTCACATTTCCAATCACACTTTCAATAAAATCTAAGCTTTTAAAAAATCTTTCACTTAAAAGACAAACTGCATGAGTGGTTTCTTGTAGATTATACTCTACCATTTTCTTCACAATTCACCTTTGTTCCTGCTCTGCTTGAGAATGCCCTGCTGGAATTAAGAAATAAAAAAAACTGCATCTAATTTTTCCAGATTTTGGACTTGATTCTGCTGCCACATGGCTGTAGACTAGGCCTAATAGCTGTTCTGTTGGACAGCTTGTGACAGCAATAAACTGCAGGATTTGCTGTGTTGTCAGTAGTATGTCCTAAGTGTTGGTTCTTATCAAGCAACTTAAATGCTGATCTCAGTAGATTTTAGTAGTTGCTATGTTAGATATTTCACATCAATTTTTCCTTTTGTCTTAGATGCTTTTAATGTGACTGGCACTACAGTACCTCAAAATCACATATGCAGTTCAACATTTCAAGAAATGTGCCTATTTAAATATTTCTTGGCTGCCATTTTGTTCAACCATTTTAGATTTCTTTTCCCCACGTCCCTTTACTATATTTTTTAATATCTTTTGAGTGGCTCATGGATTTGTGGAGGTGGTTTGCCTGAATTTAAAGATATGAAGAGCCATCAAAATCACATTTTACTTGGGCAGAAAGTCCCAGAATCCAAACGACACACAAGTTTCACTGATAAGCACCTCTCAAAAGATAGCCGAAACCCATTAGATAAATAAAGACTGATGGCCTGATTCACCAAACTGCTGAAGGATATGTTTTGTTTTAAGCATGTAAGCACAGTTCTACTAAACTGCTGAACTGCAACCTGTTTAAAGATTTTAGGATTTGGTCGCTAGGAAATTTCATGATGTAAAGGGTTGGGGACTTGACAAACTGCACCAAGTATCATCAGCTGTGCTGAGCTGATGAGAGGAGTGCTCACCTTCAGCTTGTGCTCACGTTCTTTGGTCACCTTTGTGAGCAATTTTGCCTTTTGTCGTGTTAACGCATCAACCAAGGCATCACACTGAGCAACAAGACAGGCTTCGTAATCCAGCCCGTTTTCCTAGAAGAAGGTGAGAGTTATACTCATCAAAGAAAGCATATTTTACAGAGCTTAAGATATTGCTCATTCTTACCTGTTTTTTGATTCAGAAAATATTTCCTTTCAAGACCCTCAGCTTTTTTTTTTGCCTTTCTGATTTCGTTACAGCTGTACCAGCAATAGCTGCATGCTATAAAATGAAACAGTAAGACACTATACCACAAATGGGCTTATTTAAAACCTTGATTTACTGGCACTTTCTGGACAACAGATGTAGTACAACATAATGTAAGAGCTAAATGTAACATACACAGTGCATATATATACATAAGAGGATTCTGCTCTGTTTTGTTTTAATTATCCCACTGTAGCAACTTTGAAATCACTGGCTCTACACCACACCAATTAGAACGGAATTATGGACCAGAATCTGGCTTATTACAAGGAAATTAGTGAGATACAAAGCTCTGAGGTTCGTGTATTGCTTCACGCACTTTTTTAAAAAATAGCTAGCACTCAGCAGTGGAGCCCCGTATTTGATTAAAAAAAAAAAAAAAAGACAGGTTTTTATTCACACTGTGGTAAAATACTTCGCTAGGCAGAGGGCAGCATGTGAGGTACCCAACACTGAGCTTTTAGTAGGGTCTGGGTACGACTTAGTTTTACATAAATCCCTGGAACTGCTGTAGTACCCATTCAAAAGAAGGTTCTCCCTCATGTGCTCTGTTCATGAGACTAGAAGGAAAAAGCTTTCAAGCTCCTCTTCCGAGGAGATGTTTAGCTGTACTATTAGCTTCCCTCCCAAATACACAAATTTAAAAAGAAAAAAACATCATTAAATGTGAGAAGATTTTAAATGTCCTGAAGGAGAGGCACCTCTTTGGTAAATCATCATACTCCCCTAACTCATTTCTAATTCTTAGCTCTTTTGTTTTTCTCTTCGATTCATTTCCTTTGTCTTCTTTCATTTGAGTTCAAAATTTTCAGCACTGTACTCTCTTCCCTCACTGGGATCCATGCATCCTATTCTCCAGCTGAGGGATGCAGGGTCAGTGCTCCCCAAGAGGGCCCCGGCGCAATCCTAGACCTGCCAGCAAGATGGGGCGTGGTGGTGGGGAGACACCAGACAGCTCAGTGATTGCTCACAGGTTTGTCTCAGACTCTTCCTGTTTGCCTCTCTCCCTCCTCGGCTTATATCACACCAGACTCCCCGTTAAGCCCATTTCCATCCTTGGAAAGAGCTACTTTTGAAGTGCTGGTTTGTGTGCAGAGCCTGAATCAGTCAGTGGCTGTAGCGCATCATTTCTCTCCTCATTTTCAGTTCACGCATCAAAGGGGGTGTTTGGCGATATGCCTCCTTTAAGTGAGAAAGTATGAAATTGTTATAGCAGATGGGAAAATGCAAAAATCAGATCATGACAGCAACAAGGAGGAGCAAGGAAGCAACAGGAGCAATGAGGATCAGGCAGTATCTGAAAAGAAGAGACCAAGAGATATGAAAATGACCTCAGAAAAGAGAAATGAAGAAAAAAAGAGGGGGAAACAACAGATTTGCAAAGCAGGGGAAAAAAAAGGAGATTATGAATTTGCAAACTGCCCCAAGCAATATAGCAATAATAAAAGCACAGCTCCTGGTAGCTCTGGCAAACTCGGAGAGGAGATAAAGTGCGTGGATGGCTGTCTGGCCTGCTGTGCATTGAGACAGGATAATAAAATGCACATATTGCTCACTCCTTTGTGTAAACATACTTTTTAAAGACATTTTGCTGAGGGGTAAATGTCTATATGTGTGTGTGGCAATCATTATAAGACTTCTACTAGAATACATGATTCTGAGTATAAATCTATGCCCAAATGCTACATGTCTTGCCCCCCCAAATAACCTGTTTTTTTGGTCCAAATCAAAAGGCACAGATCAGCTCATGACATAATCTAAGCGCTTTCCCCTTGAAGAGTGTATCTGTACCAAACCTGCCTACCAGGAACATTCCCTAGTATGTGCTATCCTCAAATGATGCTTGAACATCGCATGAGAAGAGTGCAATTTGTCACGGAAGAAAACCATTTCAGGGACCTCCTTAAGGGTTAAAGTGTGTGGGTGATCATCTTGGACCTGTGCCCCGGCCTTGTTTTACTTAGGAATACATATGTAGCTGATTAGTCTTGCTGTTTTGGTTTGCCGAAATTTGATGTCCTCACTCAGACTCAGGATGGAGATTGGCTCAGTATGTGAGGGTCAGATTCGGCTTTGCGCCCAGACTTGACAGGGTGATTGCTGGATACAATTTCCTCTTCTGAGCTCTCCTCTAGCATTTTAAGCAATGAGCAGCATCAAATAAATGGCTTGGTTTTTGATCCCATTGTAGCAGCTCCCTTATGCAGAGCAATTTGGCAGTGATTTTATTGAAACACATTAAAGGATTTTACAGCATAGTTGTAAATAGTCATAATAGGCCACTTTTAGGTTTCAAAAGGGGAAAAATACATTTTTAATGGAGCTAGGTGACTCAAGAAAAGATTTCTAGAGGCTACTGTTTTGGATGAGTTATGCCATCCTAAAATAGCTGTTCATATCTATAGGAAGAACTGCTCTCTAGAGGTGCCTGTCTTTCTTCTTGGACAGCGAAAGAAGTCTAAATAATTAGACTAGCTGACCTACCTAACCTTTAAATCTGTAAGTCAGCTGACAGAAACCTCACACTGTAGCCAAAATATAGAACGTTACATGTGCCAGTCAGTGGCTTTGCACTGGTTTCTTTCAGTTAGTTGTCCTTATTTTTTGCCCGTTTCTCAGTCTTGGTTTGTTCCCTGCCCCACGAGGGCATGGAAGACTATGAGGGTGGGTAGTTATGCTGCCCTGACCAACCAGAGAGCTTAGACAGCATTTGTGGTACGAAGTCAACATCTAGAGTTTTAAGTAGAATATTTTCATAATTAAATTATAAACGAAATACAGATTTTTGAACTACTGCTTTTATGGTTTTCTGCTGCTAACAAGCACAGGATTTGTTGACGAAAGATGAGCAAGCAGCAGAGTGGGCTATCAAAGAGCAAATGACATATATACCATCACTGTACAGCACTGCTGCAGCAAAAAACAATTGTCCCCTCCTGGGTGCTGTGTGCGTCCTCAGATTACTGTGGCACATTTTCAGGCACAGTCTGCAGAGTGAGAAAGACCTTAAGGATCACCTGACCTCCAGCACTGATGAGTCTAAATTTGGTTGAAGTAGGGACTTGTTTCATCTTGGGTTTGTAACCTCAATTACTGCACTCACCATGAGCCCTTTTCTGACTATTAAATCTGGACCATTACAGGCATGAAAGTATCTTATGCTTCAATAAATGACCACATTGATTTAGCAGCAGTTACTTTTTTTTTTTGGAGTAGAATATTCCTGTATTTCTGAGTATGTATAGGGAATTCCTACAAATACTCTAATAAACAAGTTGACTGGATTTTGTCCAGAAATGAGGACATTTTTAGAAAATGTAAGATGAAAATCTAGTAGTAAATTTTGAATGTGTTAAAATGAAAACTTATCCTAAATGCCTAAAAGCAACTGCAGTCAGGAAGGAGCCCAGAAGCACAACCAATCGATTCAATACTAATCAACACAGCTCAGATGTCCAGTATTGAGTATCAGCTTCTTGCAATAAACAGCCAACAATCTAGAAGCTAAGAGGGGTTTGCAGGCATTCTTTGATGAATAATTGTGCTTAGCAAATCCTATCAAGAAAGGTTAGATGATTCCAGGAAAGATAAGAATAGCACAGGAGACAAAGTCATCAAATAAATTATTTACTCAGTTCTATTGATTACCATATTATCAAAACAGATAATATTCTACAGTTACCTGGATCTGCTGCAATAAATTTTTCAGCTGAACCAAAAATTCTTTAGCTTCCTTTGCTTTATCTGAAACACCATTTAAAGCCTGAGAGAGCTGTGCCTGCAAAGAAAAAAAAGGAGGGGAAAGAAGAAAAAGTTAGCAATAAAATGCAAATGTGTTTCTTACTAATCCTTGGATTTGATGATTAATAATGTGCTAAAAGTCTTACTTGTCGGTGCATGTATTCTTCACACACAAAGGGTTTGTGCTAGGAAAGAACAGTTAAAATTTTTATTGCAATAAGATTTAATAAGGGTGAAATATGCATATGGGGGCAGTCAAGTATTGTGTCTGCACATTCCACTTTATTGCAGTGATTAGGTAAGTCAAAATACCTTTTAATAAAACAGCTACCCACATGTATAAGCAGATAACAGTCTTACACTTACAGCGTAGCATCTGTCATGCTGAAAAATCCCCAAGTGCTTTCCAAAATGGCACTTTTTTTCCATCAAAGTCTGCAATCTTTACAAATCTGGTAGAACTTACCAAACCTGAGATACACTAGGATTTCAAAGACAAATCTGCTGTCTCAGACTTCACAGTAAAGTCTCTTTGGGGTTCCAGTTTTCCATGCTCCAACTCAACAAATGAGTGAATGTTTCTGGAAAAGTTGGAAAAAACCCTTCCTCTAACTTTTGACTGGTGAGATATACGAAACATGTCTTTTTTAAGTCCTTACCGAAGACCTAATCTTCCCATTCCTCAGCTGACACCTGAGATCTCTAAGCTGAACCAGAGGCTTGTTGATGGACTTTGAGGACGGGAAGGAAACAGCAGTTCTGCCCCCAGCAGACACAACAGACACAGAATCGACATGGTCTGGATCCAGGAGCAGCTTTGTTGGAAGCCTGGATGGTATTACAGAAACTATATTGCTCTGCTTGTGCTCCAACATTACTTCTCCATGCAGATAGGCCCATTACTTGATTAGGATGGTCACCTCACAAACAGTGACACAGACAAGGCAGAGATGTTAAATTTTTCTTTGCTTTGGTCTTCAACACTGATGATGGGTTCTGGGGCCCCAGTGACCTGAGTTGGAGGACCATGACTGTGAAAATGATAAACTCCCAGTCAACACCAAACTTGTGCAGGATTTGCTGCAACAGCTGGATTCCAGTAAGTCTATGAGGCCTGATAGGATTCATCCAAGTGTACTCAGAGATGGCTAATGTCATTGAGAGACCTCTCTCAATTATTTTTGAACAGTCTTGGGAATCAGGAGAGGTCCCAGTCGACTGGAAACTGGCAAACATTGTCCCAGTTTTCAAGAAGGGCAAGAAGGATGAACCTGGAAACTATAGGCCTGTTAGTCTCACTTCAGTGCCTGGTAAAATTACAGAGATTATTCTGGGAGTTATTGAAAAATGCCTGAAGGACAAGGCAGCCATCAGTCACAGGCAGCATGGCTTCACAAGGGGAAAGTTCTGCTTCTCAAACTTGATTTCTTTTTATGACAAAGTTACCCACCTAGTTGATCAAGGGAAGCCAGTTGATGTAATCTTTTTGGATTTCAGTAAAGCTTTTAATACTGCCTCTCACAGGATCCTTCTGGATAAACAGTCCAGCACACAGGTAGATAAACATGTCATGTGTTGAGTGAGTAAATGGCTCACAGGTCAGGCACAAAGGTAAAAGGGATTATCTGTTCTAGGACCAATGCTTTTCAATATCTTCAAAAATGACCTGGATGCAGGACTCAAAGTTATACTAATTATGTCTGCTGACAACACCAAATTAGGAGGAGCTGTTGACTTCCTTGAAGGCAGAGAGGCCCTGGACAGAGACCTAGACAAATTATAGGGCTGGGCAAACACCAGCAACATGAAGTTTAACAGGGGTAAGTGCTGGATCCGCACCTGGGATGGGACAACCCTGGGTTTACATAAGACTGGGGAACTAGAGTCTGGAGAGCAGCCCCACAGAAAGGGACCTGGGGGTCCTGGTTGATGGCAACTTGAACATGAATCAGCAGTGCCCTGGCAGCCAGGAGGGCCAACCGTGTCCTAGGGGGCACCAGGCAAAACATTGCCAGCCAGTCCAGGGAGGGGATTGTCCCACTCTTCTCTGTGCTGGTGTGGGCTCACATCAAGTTCTGTGTGCAGTTTTGGGTGCCACAATATGAGAAGGATATAAAGCTTCTAAAGGAGCATCTAAAGGAGACTACAAAGATGATGAAGTAGCTAGAGGGGAAGCCATATGAGGAGCAGTTGAGGTCACTTGCTTTGTTTCAGCACAGAAAAAGAGGAGACTGAGGGGAGATCTCATTGCAGTCTACAACTTCCTCACAAGGGGAAGTGGAGGGGCAGACCCTGATCTCTTCTCTGTAGTGACCAGTGACAGGACTGGAAGTCAGGTCTAAAGTTGTGTCAGAAGAGGTTTAGGTTGGATATTAGAAGAAGGTTCTTCACCTGGTTAAGTGGTTAAGCACTGGAACAGGTTACCAACAGAAGTGGTCACAGCACCAAGCCTGACACGGCACACTTCTTCAGGCTGCCAAAGTTTTGAGTTTACCTCCCACCTGAATGTCACCCGAGAGTTCAGGAAGCATTTAGACAATGCCCTCGGGCACATGGTGTGACTCTTGGGTATGGTCCTGTGCAGAGCCAGGAGCTGGACTTGATGATCCTTGTGGGTCCCTTCCGCTCCCTTATGGGTCTATGATTCTATAATGCAGTGACTGAACAGATCCCATCATGAGTGTCCTGTAGGTTAGACACTCTCTGTGGATTTACCCTTCAGGCAGACCTGGCAACTACCAGATTGCCAATGTCTAGTTAATTATCCTTACCAAATGTATATGGTAATCAACATCAAGAAATGGAAGGGAAAGTATCTTTGCTAACATCAGGCTTTCAGAAAGTTGATATCTCTTGTTTCTTGGAACCAGAGCGTGCCTTGAGACAGAGCCTTGTATGTAGGATAGTACAAAGGTTATGAGCCTCCAGGAAGCTGAACCTGGTTGAAAGTCAGTAAGTCACCACTCATTCTCTGCTTCCCTCTTGCTCCTGGAGGGACGTAAATTCCTCCATCCCTGAAAAAGGCACAGCACACTTCTTCACTCTGCCAAAGTTTTGAGTGTACCTCCCACCTGAATGACACCTAAATGTCTCCTACTCATTCTCTCCTTGTGCTTGCTTATTCACACAGGACAGCAAAGAGCAGACCCTGGCAACTTCACAGCCCAGCCCCAAGGCAGGTAGCCTTCAGCAGGCAGAAGCACTGCCTAACTCCACACACCTCTGCAGGAAGTGGATAGAAACCCTGATTGGGAGCTATGACTGAGCTATAGAGAAAGAAGGCAACCTAGAGATTTTTTTCCTCATATTCACAAACTTTTTCCTTTTAGCCCAGTTGCAGGTATTCCATTAGTGATAAATTTTAAACTAAAATATGCTTTATGAAATTAATTTGTGACAATGTAAAGGGAAGACATATTACTGTGTATGTTTCTCCATATTTGAATATTTACTATTTTCCTGGACAAATTCTTGTCAATGCACAAAAATTTAAAATGACAATGTTTGACATTGGCACTACTTGAGGTCCAAGGAGCAAATTCCAGGTCCTTGAAAGAGACCCTATTTTCTGCTAGACCAGACAATCAGGACTTCAGGTCAGGTCTCCATGGGCTGATCATGCTTGCCCAGCCTTTGAAGCCCAGCCTTTTTTGTCATCCATTCTGCTTCACCCACAAGGCACACTGAACCTTTGGTTTGTCAACCTGACGCAGAATCAGGTGGAAACAGCATATGACCAAGTGGCTGGGGTAGAAGAAAGAAAGAAATAGGTGGCAAAAGCATGTTATGCTATGCCATGGACTGTTGATGCCTAAAGGAGCTGAGGAAAAAAACCTCCAGAGCAATTTAATTAGAGGTGAGATAAGAAAAGGATTTAATCGTGCCTCCAAGGCACATAGGTTACAAAACACGCGCACCCCTTCTGCCTCAGATGTTACAATTTTATAATACTGTCTAACCAATCCCAGGTTTTACCACCCTCTGGCTTTTGCCCTGGTCCATCCCCGATCCCCCCCTGGGGAATTGGGGCTGGGGTCTTTTCAAGACCACCTACTTCATCACTTGGTCTTCCTCGGAGCACAAAGGGCACATGGTTACCCAGTTCTTGACTGTACTCTGCAGTTCAGGCTAGGGTACAAGTGTTCTCAAACAGAAGAGGCCTATCTTAAAGAGAAGTCTAAATATTCTAATTGATATGAAGGGGTAGTTGATATGGGGAGCATGGAACGGGGTAAAAGGGTTGGGATATGTGTGTAGTTACTATGCTAAGGGTAAGGGTAGAGGAAGAAATGCTGCTGCTTCTAAAATCTACTTCTGCTATATAACTACTTATAAAACTTATAAAAAAATAGAAAAATCAAAAAGCTAAAAGGACCTTAAGGCATCACTGTCCTGACCAAATTGTCCCAGGAAGGCAAAGGCTCCTTTCTTTCAAATCAAAACCAATGGTTGGTCCTGACAAAAGTAAAATTTCTACTTTTCCAACATCTGCCCTAGCTCTCCAATCATCTCAAAGTCCATTTCACCAGACAAGAAGAGGTAAAAGCTGTGTGTGGGCATCACAGCAGCCATAGAAAACCACCACACACCAATTGTAACTAGCATATGTACCCATAATTAGCACAAGCACTCCTGGCTCCCGGCACACTCTCATTGCAAAGAGCTGCAACAGAAACTGAGCCGTGTCATTGCTCAAAGGGCTCATAAGCGAATTGATCTGTTCATTAAAAACTGTTGTTGCATTAACGCAACTGCCGCATGAAGCCGAGAAGACCAGATTTCCATTTGTGAAACCCACTTAGAGATAATAGCCTTGTTTTTCCAAGCATTTGTAAAAGATACCTTACAAAGCAGTGGAATTTAGTCATACCCTTCCCATTAAAATCAAATGGAGCTACATGACTAAGCCCTCAGTAAACCAACCAAGGCATAAAAAATGCCCTGTACAGCCAGAACAGTCTTTCATACTGCAGGAATATTTATTGGAAACCAAACTGAGATGTTACAAGCTCCATTGACTGTGACAATTAATAACTCCTGACAAATGGTACTCTACCTGGAGTTATCTTTACTTTAATACCTGGTCTTGCAACCAATCATGTGGGGGCTGGAGACAGATATCAAGTTTCTATTTCCGTTAATTACAGGAACACAGAGATCACAAGGGTAAGTAATTAAACCCAGATGGGCACAGAAGACCGATGCTTCCTTTGATGTCAGAAAATGAACCAGATAATGCCCACGTCCTTTTTCAACCAAACAGTTCATGCTCATTTAACTTGCTTTCCCTCCATCTCTCTTTAGCAGCAGATTAACTATTGATTAGATAAGCTTCTCCTGATGCTGAATTCTCATAAAGCTTACATGATTTTGGGAACACAACTCTTTAGGCCAGGAAATAAAAGCAAGCATTTGGACTCCAACACTTGCCTGCTACCCTGCTACCCAGCTGTGGCTGTTTCAACATTTCAGTATATACATATATTTAACCATTTAGAATGGGCAGAGCTAAAATGTGTCCCTCATAGTTCCTCATATTGATAGGTCAAAAGTCCTACCTAAATGTTATAACAGTGTCACTGTTCTTGCTATAAAGACATGAAAGGACTTAACTGCAGCAGAAGACTTAGAGTTTTACTTAATAACCTTGAACTGTTGATCAAGATGCACTTTTCATGCAAGTGAGTATAATAGAGTCCAGCTAAGTCAGGGGATTTTCATGGATTTATGCCATTGGGGCCCTGTTGTTATTTTACACCCATTTTACTTTCTCTGTGGGAGAAGTTACATAGAGCAGCATAGTGGGGAACCTGCACCAATAACAGGGGCCAACCAGTCTAGTATAGCTTTTGTGTCAGCAGTACAGCTGAGGATAAATGCACACTTCATTGCATAGTCCACAGCACATTGTGGACAAGGTTATACACTCTGTAATTTGCCACTAGATTGCTATATAAGGCCAAGACAAAGGAGGAGTCAAACAGTTTGAACAAAGAGCTAATACATGGAAAGCTTATTTGGCTAAGAACGAACCTTCCAGCTACCTCTAACAGCTATGCCTGGAGCATCTAGAGAGAACACATAAAACTTAAATTACATTTGGCGTACCACTCAATGTAAGTAATTTATGGTTTGGCCAAAGTAACTGAAGGTAATAAACTTGTAGAAATTGCTGTATCAGAGAACTCTTTGCAAGCAGAAATATCTAATTCCAAAGCAATTTATCTGAATGATTGTGAGCTGATGATTTAAGCTGTCTACCTATATGGTTCCATTATACTTATTTTCTGTCAAGCACATTGTTCTGGCAAAAATAATACTCATAAGAGTACAGTTTTAGAGTCCCCAGAATAATTAATTTTGGGGAGGGGGGTTGTTGTTTGTTTTTTTTTTCCGGGATTTTGACATTGATTGAATCTGTAAATCAGGAAAAAAATCATAATCTGTGATACCTTAGTCACAGAAAAAATGCAGTAAAAATACAAGCCACAAGGCTGTTGTTCATTCTTTAGATAATATTTTGCAGTAGGAAAGAAAGAAAATTACTGATTCCGAACTATGATTACACAGGAGTTTATCACACTGTTCAAAAAGACATCAGACAGTTTTAACTTAAGGTAGAAAATAACACAGCACAAGCTGATCTCTCACACTCTCCAAAACATCAGCCACATTTGAACAGTGAACTCAGACCTCACTCATTAAAACAATTCTGCTCAGAAGTGGATTCTGCCATTGGCATATGACTAGCAACTGTGAATTTTTAATCTGCTCCTTCTGAGCCAAGAGAACTTCTCTGCACAAGTACTCATCATGTTAGGGAGCAGATGGCTGAGACCTTGGCAGAGCATTCAAACTGAAACAACTACAGACGAAGTTTGTCTTTCTTCTTGGATGGACAAACAATGTAGAACACCCCTAGTGGCATCTTTTTTGAATCTTAAAATTGAAAGTCAATTTTTTGCTTTGCAAATATCTTAGTCTGGCTTGTGCTCAACCACTCCATGGCTGAGGGATGATGAGACCAGTCTTGATTTTGACCTCTCCTACAGTGCCTGAAAGGGTCTCTCTGTGCTTCCTTTACTGCTAACTGCAAACAGAGAGCGAGAAGAAGGGAATCCTATAGCCAGCAGAGCTCTTTGGACACCTGTGGTAGAAGTGCCTTACCCCCAGTACAGAGGGAAGCTCCAAAGGACTGCTTCCAGCTCTCAGATATTTAAGTCCACTCTGTACATTCATATGTATTAAGTAATCATTTTTCCAGGGTCTACTGTTCTTAGAAAGAAAGAGCTAACTTCACACTTTCAACTTCTAAAGTCATGTCTTGGTCTTCATTCAAATCGTTGAAAAGTCTTATTTTTAGCAAGGATAGCATGGCCAAGTGGCCCAGCAGCTCTACCAGACCTTGGCCAACCCCATGTGTGGAAAAGCGGACAGCTCTGACATCTTCCCAGAGGGATCCAGGGAGGGGTAAGGAGCAGAGAATTAAGAGAAAGTTTTACTTGTCCACAGTCTTCATCCATTCTACAATTCCTTATTCATCTTTTTGTCATGAAAGTCTCTCAAGCCATTACTCCTGGCTTTTTTGGGAACCGAGTGGGAGGAGACCTCTTTGAGACCCAGGGGAAACATGGTGTCCATGATTCTCTGTATCATACTTTCTTGTCTAAAATATTTGGGTGGCTCTGGGCTACTCTCCCTCATTGACGTGTGGTTGTGGCAGCTTGCACTGAGTTCTGGGTGAAAGGAGGGTGGTGAAAGGAAGGAACAACTATCCCATCTCCTCACAAGCAGCTGCTGCCGCTGTGAGAGGATGGGAAGGCTGAGGACAGGATGGCCAAGAACCCTGCAAAAGGCAAACAAGTTAGTGAGATGGACTTGCTAATCCCAGGCCTGGTTGAGCCTAAGATTTTCTGACTAAGGTGAGGCCAACATGGCAGGGAATCTGTGGGTTTTCTAACTCTGAGCAGGGGCTGCGGGGTCACCGGGAAGTTGGGAAGGACCAGAGACCTAAGAGCACCAGGCCAAAGGGAGAAAAGTCTGGGAGGATGATGGACACGAAGTACCTCATGTCCTACAAACCCCAGTGTGTTGTTGGGGCACTGGAATGAACAAACCCCAGTGCTGAGCATCACCCCAGCTCTGGGCATCACCCAGGTCCTCCTGGCCCTCCGGGGGGACTCACCTTGTGCTGCTTCCACATGGCTCCCAGGGCCTTCACGTCGTGCTTACTGTGCTTGCCCTCCTCCAGGCACTGGTAGCAGACGGGGCTGCGGCAGCTCACGCAGTACATGCTGTAGTTCTCCAGGTCATGCTCGGCGCACGTCGGCAGCTTGCGGCCGCCGCCCGCCCCCTTCCCGCCGCCGCCGTCCCCTCCGCCGCCGGGGGCGCCGGGGTGTGCGGGCGGCGGGGCCAGGCGGTGCTTGGCGAAGGGCCCGCGGGCCGGGTGGCAGCGGAGCTGGCAGGCTGCGCAGTACAGCACCTCGCACTGCTCGCACAGCACGGCGGCCGGCTCGGGCGGGCTGCGGTCGCACAGCTGGCACTTGGCGGCGGCGGCGGCGGCGGCGCGGCCCTGCTGGTAGCGCTGCACGATCGCCTCTAGCAGCCGATTGCGCTGGAAGCCGCGGAGCCCGCGGTGGTCCAAGGATGCGCTCCGGTGGCACTGCGGGCAGGTGAGGGAGGAGCTGGCGGGGCCGGCGCCCCGCGGAGCCGCCGCGGACCCCGGGGGCGCGGGCACCAGCGGCAGCACCCGCACGCCGTTGGGGGACTTCAGGCTGGGGGTGTAAGAGCCGTAGCCACTGTCGGTCTCGCTGTGCAGGCTCAGCTTGTCCGCATGGTCCCCGCCGCCGCCCGCCGCGCACTCCGAGTCCAGGCAGGCAGCGGAGCCCGCGGCCACCCCCGGCCCCGCTCCCGGCGCGGCTGCGGCAGCCGGCGGCGCGGGGCCCCGCGGGTGGACCAGGGGCGGCAAGTGCTGCTCGCTCTCCGGGGTCTGCACGGCGATGGTGCGGGCGCAGGGCAGGCAGACATTGTGCGAGCAGGGCAGGATGATGGGCTCCCGGAACAGTGAGCCGCACACCGGGCACTTCAGCTCCTCTTCCATGGCCGCGGCGCGGCTTTGTGCGCGGGCTCCTCAGGCGGGCGGCGCGGGGTCGCCGCCGGTTCCCCCCATCCCCCGGCGCCCCCTTCGCCTCCTACCTCCACTCCGGACGCCGGGCGAGGCCGGGAGGGCTCCGGCCGCCGCTCCCGCGCCGCGCGGTTCAGCACCCTCCGGGCAGAGACAGCTCCGCACCGCCCGGCCGGGAACGGGAATGGGGCCGGGGGAGCCGCCCGGCTGCTGGAGGCTGCTCGGGGCCAGGGAAAGCCTCCCCGCCGGCCGTAGCTCGGGCAGGGAGAGCGGTGGGACTGTTTTAACGTTGGTGGCATAGAGTAATAATATATGGGGAAGAGAGGCGGGGGGTGGAGGGAGGGCAGGAGTAGGAAGGGGCGGGAAGAACCCTTTCCAGCAAATAAAGTGGTCGCTCTCTCTGCGGCTGGGGACGGCGAAAACAATTTTTAAAGGATCTCTACACAGCGATGTCTTCATATCTTTAAATAAAGCTATTGTTTGGGTAGCGGATTGAACGCAGGCGGGGTTTCGTTATCCCTAGTAGCCCTTTCCTCCCCGAAAAAGGAGGACGCTCGCCAACAAACTAAACGCGTGCCTCTCCTTCGTAGAGCACTCACCACGGTGGAGCACAACCAAGATGCACAAAATGTCAGGCATTGACAGAGGGAGGGATGAAAAAGGGGTTAAAAGGGAAGCGCGAACCCCGGCTACGAACGCCGTGGCTGGCAGGGGCGGCAGAGTGCAGCGAGCGGGGGACGTGCCGCATCGCCCCAGCGCCCAGCCCTGTGAGCCCAACAGGAATCTGCTGCGAAGATAAATCAGGGATGACAGCTGAGAGTTTATGAACTGAAAATAATCATCCTTGGAAGAAAGAAACCAGCAGTGGGAAATCCCCCATCTGTTTTGTTTACTCTACATACGCTTAGCGTGGATGTAGCAGTGGTTTATTTTCATAGTGAAGAGATTATATGTAAGAGTGATTTCTCTGCTTTACTACCATTATTATTGTTGTTCATCTAGCTTGTTTAAAAGCCACTATTGTATTAACTTCAGTTCAATAAATAGATCCTAATTTTTCATTTGTTTTAAAATGCAAACTGGTCGTTACAGAGCAGCTATTTAAAAAAACGCAGAACTAACTGCTGTCAAATGAAAAGAAAAAAAAAAGAGGAAAAGAGAAAACCTATTAAAGCCATTGCATCTGATCATAATGTTTCTTAGTAAATGACAAGTTTTTTTGTGACACTGGTTAGGAAAAGATTTTCTAGTTTCAGATTTTGCTTTTACTAGATTATTAAAACTGTTGATGCACAGAAAATGAGGAATGGGGTCAGAGAGTAGGAATATATTAAAGTTTCATTTTTTTTCTTTCTTTCCTCTCTGCAGTTCCTTTTTGTATCTTGCCTTGCTGCTCTTATGACAAGCTGAGGGGGGAAAGAGTCCTGAGGGGTTTAAAGCTTTGTAGTTCCACATTTTGAGGTGAAAAGCAGCAGGTTTGGCCTCTGGCACATAAAAGAAACAGTCCTGACCCACATAAACCTGCCTGTCTTCTGGTTTCTTTTTCTTTTATGTGACCTCTGTGCTGAGATTGAGAGTTTATAGACTGACTGTGTATTTGGGCTACCTCCAGCCAGAAACGTCAGCAGTGCAAGAAATGTTCTGAAACACCATTGATTTCACAGCTACCTTATGCTACTACATAGTAAGAAAAATACGTGGGTGAAATGCTGTTGTCTTCATAGTCGCTGTTCTCTGCTCTACCATCTGTCAGCAGTGAAAGCAGATGCATTCTGAAGATTTCTTGCAGACCTATAGGGGAATCCAAGTCACAAATTTCAAGTTTATGTTGGAAGCCATTATGCTAAAGTTTATTAGGAAGGCATGGTAGCTTTTTCATGGACTTTTTCCTTCTTTCTTTACCTGTCCTGTATGTTAAGGAGACAGTGATCATAGTGTGCAAAATGGTAGCATCGGGTTTGAGACATCTGAGCAAAAGTGGACATATCAGACAGGTAAGTTGTGGAAATGTAAAAGTATGAACACCAACTCGACCAATTCCAATTTACAGCTGCTTTTTAGCTGGGGCTTGCAACTTCCAGAGTTCTAATACACTGAATTTTTAATATTTCCATTTTGAATGCTACTCTAGAGTTCATGTAAAATCCTAGAATTGTGGGAAATTGACATGGGAACTGGCAAGAAAGAAACTTTTCAGAAGTACAACCATTCTCTTTCAAACTCAACTTTTCTTCTCCTCTCCACAAACTTGATTTGGCCTGAGAGCATATCACTATAATAGATGACATTTGAAATGGATATAAAAAAATGATTTGGTCTTGTCTGTCCTGTAGTATGACATTTACTTCAGTCAGGGTCTTTTTTCACTTACTGAGTGAGTTTATGTCCAGGACAGTTGAGGCTTTGAGAGCAGGGAGAGCTGCATGGTATGGTACCCCTGTTTACCTGTCCTACTGATAACAGAACACCTCTTGTTTCCAAGGATTTGCAGAATTTCAGCGCAGAAACCTTCATCCCCATGGCATCAGAGACTGCTGCTGGAACTAACACCTACTGTAACAACACTCAATGCTCTGATAGGTTTAGGTTGCAGAGTACAGATTCTTCTCCTTATGACAAATATTTATCTATATAAACCTAAGTGCCTCTGCTGATGGAATTGAACAGTCATCACTGTCATCCTTACTACTCCAGAGGCCAGAATGGAAATTGGTCTAAGAGTTGAAAAATGTCATTGAGCTTGAGCAGATTGACCTTGGACGCCCTTGCTCTTGCCAAGGAACAGATCCCACGGAGTTGATTCCACTAATTTTAATGGAACTATTCATAAAGCACTGTTCACTCTGAGCCTGATAGAATAGGGCCTTTACTATGTTTTGTAATCAAGGCATTTTTATAATGGCCACATTATAAAATCCCTATAATTTTTCATCTTTTTATGTTCAAGTGAGACTTTAATCTGTTAGTGCTGTAGCAGTGTATGGATAACCTAGAAACCCTATACTGGCAGTCCTGGCTTTGAACTTTACTTTTATACTTCAGCACCACTACTATCATCCCCTTAAACTATTTGCCCTTCGTAAGAACTTATTAGCATCTTTTATATCCCCCCAATGGGAAAAAAAAAATCATAAGCTTTATTTGTAAATTTGGATTTTAAAAAAAAGATAAGGCAAGTTGTGGTATAACCCCTGAGTAAGGAGAGATTTGATTTATCTTTTTGCCTCTCTTGCTTTATTGCTTATGCCTTCTCATTCTGTTTGTTGTTACTTTTCCAGTTGTTTTCCCATTCCTTTACTTATATTTTTTTATATTTTATATTGCCCTCCAGTTAGTTTTCCCTCTTTCTTTTCTCATTTTTTTCCTTCAATAGCTGTCCACCAAGGTCACTTCACTGTGTTCAGTTTTCTTCTTTTACCACCACTGTTTATCCATGGGGAATCTTTTGACTCCAGTATTCCAGCATCCCTTCCGCTAACAGGCATCACTCCAAGCACACATCCTCTCATTTGAAGAGTAAAAGAGGGAAAAAAGGGATTTTATCTCCAGGTTCTTATTCCAATGCAAAAAGGAGAACAGAGAGATAGTTCACAAGAGCAGAGAAGATAAAGTGCATGTGTGCTAATGCCAGCAGCCTGTGTGGCAATATGAGCTGGAAAGTCTTGCTGCCTTGTTATGAGTGCATGGTGCTCAATTATCAGCAGAGGATGCCCTCAGTAACCACTGTGGACAACACAGTTGCACTTACTAGTCATCTCTGAGTTTTAGGCTGGAGTACTAACCAGTGGTAGTACACACACCCCACACACCTTGTCATTGCTCTTATGAATATTAAACAACACAGCTCACTGTAATCTCTCCTGTCTACTTATTCTTCGTCATATTCTTTACCCAGGCTCTTCTTCTCAACATTACAAGCTCTGGTTGATGCTGGCATTGCATGTTCTGTTTGAGGGGTGATGAGTTAAAGAGGCATGGGAGGGTAGGCTTCCACTGTGGCTTAGAGGAAAAGCTGATGTATATGGTCCATGTGTCAGGGAAGCTTTGGAAATGGTAGCTACCTGCTACCTCTTTCCCTTATCTCCTTGGTTTTGTAAATTTGCATTAGGTATATTATGTAGGTGTAATATTTTTGTGGGTTTGGTTTGGGGTTTGGTTTTTTTTGGGGGGGGAGGGTTGGTTTGTTTGGTTTTGGGTGTTTTTTTGTTTGTTTAGGTTTTTTGGTTTTTTTTGGTTGGTTGGTTGGTTTGTGTTTTTTTGAGCATGCATTCAAGTAGCCATTATATTATTTAGGGTTTTCAAATGTTTGCACATTGATCTGTTCATGAAAGGAAGGATGGCAAAGCTTGGCAACAGCCCAGAAGTCTGCCACAGAAGCATGGCTGCTGATAAAAAGCTTATCTGTTGGCTAGCAGAAGACTCTATCTGTAATAGAAATGCAGCTACATAATGAATTTTCTCCGTCAGAGGAGTAAATCTGCCATAAAAATATAAGTCACAACAGAGGACAATCCCATACAATGGAATCTTATTCAGAATGTCTGCTGAGTATATGCTTGTTAAGATGGTTAAATGGCAAAAAATGGTGCTTGATCCTAAACATTGCTTAACAAATACTCACACTTCTAAATCTATTTCAGCCATCTAAGAATGAAATTAGATACAAAGGAAAATACTGCTTTAAACACTGGTGTGTTGACACAGACAAATTTCAGTAAGAGGTCAGTTTCAACACTTCTTAACAAATCTGTATTGAAAAGAAAGCACAAAGAAAGCACAAAAGGCACTACCCTACAATTAGGAGTCTCGAAAAATAAGATCTCATATTTCTGTGGTGTTGTAAAAATACCTCAGCCTGCAAGCCTTTGGAATTACTTCAGGGACATCTTGGCTTTCCTGCTGTGCCTGGAGTCCTCTCTTTCTCGTTGTTTCTGTGCAGGGGAGTGTGGTACTTTTCCTTCAATGCTACCATTCAGCTTGCAAGCAGCATCCTAAAGGGTGCTTGCTCTTTTGAGAGAGGACAACAGCGCTGGACCCTGAGCAGCTGCATGTGAGAGACAGCAGGAAATTGTGCCCTGCTTTGGACCCATTTCAGAGCACAACACGGTTAAAATCTTCACATACGATTGTTATAGAGAGCTCGTGTCGCATTTGCTGCCTTTTTTTAAAGTAAGCGTGTAAACTTCTCACAGACATTATTTGGTTTCAATGGCATTATGGCAGAGAGTGGGTTATGGATCCTCAATTGTTCCCTGTGTTCCCTCTCTTGAGGAGAGAGGGTTGTAGGAGGCTGTTCAGAGGATGGACT